AGGGGTGCGGGCGGGGACGTGCGTGCGGGCGGGCGGGCGGGCGGAAGGCGCTGGGCCCGGCCCCCTCAGGGGTCCCAGCGTAAGGCAGCCACGGTGGCCTGTTGAAGTCTTGGAAAGGGTGAGTGGGAGCCTGGTGGGCGGCAGTGTGGAGTTAGAGACCCCCAGGAAGTGACTGCCAAGTGGGTCCTGTCTCCACTCTCCTTGGAGGCCCGGGGCCTTGGATACCTCAGAACTGGGGCTGGGAGGCGGGCCTGTGGACCCCTTCGCTTGGCTTGCCAGAGAACAAGGGGAAGAAGAGCTCCTCATACAGCGCTCCTGCCTGCCCCCGCCCCAGCGGAGCTTGGGCTGCGGAGGTGGCTGTGTCCCCAGGCAGGGTTCTGGGGGTGGCTGAGGCTGCTGGGCCTGGCCCAAGTCCCTAGACAGGCCCCATGGTCTCAGGGGCCTCCTTTTTTGTTCCTGTGATTCTTGTGGGGGCTGCTGGTTTCTATGGTGACAGCATCTCAGGCCAGCTTGCTGTTTCAGGCTCTGGGTGCTGGCCGAGCCCTCTAAACTGGTGGGCTTTCCTGTCTTAGAGCCCCAAGAAGGCCAGGGGAGTGGGGGTAGGGGCTGGAGCTTTGGAGTTCCTGAGCCAGACTGGTCCAAGAAAGGAAAGAGCCAGGGTCTGAGCTCTGGCCCCCAGCCCAGCCCTGTTGTGCAAGGGGCCTGGGGCTAGAATGGAGGACTCTCCTGGACGTGGGCAGACAGATCTTGGCCCTCTCAGAGTCCAGACTCCATGTAGATGAAGCTCAGGACCTCAGAATGCTTGTCCCTCTCCCTTATTCTCTGGAAAGTAAGGAAGGCACACTGTGTCAGCTGGGGTCACAATGGGAAAAGGGGTCAGAACCAGAGGGAGGGACCTCAGTTGCTTACTACCAAACTCCTTGGCAGTCATGGAATCTGAGGTCAAGAGGGGCCAGCTCCAGGTCCTAGGGTGTGTTTGGGATCTTAGTACTGGCCCTTTGTGCCTTCCAACTGGGCAGCTCCTTCTGTGGGACTGCCTGTGTTGGCAAGTCTGTGGGCAAGGTGAGGACAGTGGCTGGGGCCACCCTAGAAACTCCCTGCAAGAGGTGACTTCTGTGTAGATGGCCAGTGCATGACCATTCCAGGGTTCCTAGAGGCTGGCCTGGGCAGCATAGGTCCAGCCTAGTTTCCTATGCTGCGCACCTTAGGACATGGAGGCAGAACCAGAACAGGAGGAATGGCAGAGGCTGTGTCCCCACTTCCTTTCTCCTAGTCCAGGTTTAGGCTGTCAGTAGACTGGAGAAAGGGGCTTGCTCCTTCCACACAACACAGCATGATCCTGGATTGGCCTTCTGTCTGTCCATCTCCTTTTCCCTTAAAAGGGAGGGGGCCCTTTGCCCTCAGGGAAGAGCGCAGTTGTTGGAAGCTGAAACCCAGGAGCATCCATAACCGGGCATGTTTGGGTGTGGGGGCCTCACGGGTCAAACTGACCATGACAGGTGACTGGGATAGGGAGAATGAGGCCACCCCGAGGGGGAGGGGCAGGTGGACTGCCCCAGCTCTGCTTTGTGTGGCAGGCATCCACGGATGCTCTGGGGCTTCTAGTATCAGGTTTGTGGTCACAGAACAGTGTCTCCGCAGGGTGTTGTTTCAGAGCTGTCTCTGTAGTCCAGATAAGGCAGTAGACGCTGAGTTCAGAGCCAGGCGGTACCTCCTGGGGCCTTTTCCCTCTCTAGTGTGTTGGGATAGGATCTGACCTGCCCGACTGCAGGGCTCCACCAAAGGCAGCCTGTGTTGGTTCAGTGTGGGGCTTGAGGAGGGGACTGGGAGGTGAGAGGAAGCACTATAGGTGTGGCTTCTCCTTACCTCCTCCCCAAACCCCTCTTGGTCTTTCTCTCCTTCCCACCTGACCTCTACTGGCTGTCCTAGGGTTGAGACCCCACTTAAGATGCCAAGGGAAAAGGGGCCAGAACTTCAGAGAGTACTCCTGTCAGGGTGCTCTTGATTTCTAGCTGGCTTGCTTGGCCTCTGCTGACAATTGAGTGCCCAGGGCTGGGGACTCAGGCAGACCTTGGTGGTGCCCTGCAATGCGGGGTCCTTGCTCACATGGCAAAGTAAGCAAACAGGAGGCGAGGAGGCTGTGGAGGGGGGCAGAAGCAGCCAGCAGCCTCCTTCCTGAAGGCAGCGTCTAGAAGGAATATGTAAAGAGGGGGTTTAGAGTGAGGTCTGAGGGGTCCACAGGAGTTCACTAGCCTAGCCTGGGGTAGGAGGTGACAGCCATCCCATTTAGGTGAGAAAGGCATAGAGATGCCAGGGATATGGGGATGTGAGAGAGGCATGGGGCATAGGGCCCAGGACAGGAGAGATAAGGTAGGCAAGAGGAGCGTGGGGAGTGGTGCTCAGCTTCGTACCAACAGAGGGAAACACAGGAAGGACAGGGAAGAGACTAGCAGTGGAGTCTGTGAGACCCTGGAAGGGACAGCAAAGGACAAACCTGTCCAGCTTCATAAAGGTGGCCAGGGCTGAGTTAGGTGGCTGCAGAGAGAGTCAGGTGGTCCTCTCCCTGGCCGACAGGGCTGGACCAGCTAGTTGGAAGCATAGGTAGAGACAACGTACCTGAGACATGGTGGCTCAGGGGACTCTTGTCTAAAGGACCCGAAGCGGAGGTAGAGTGTGTGGCACCCAAAAAAAGTTGGGGTCGCAAACTGGTCAAGGCATGATATGAGCGAGACAGACCTGAGAGCCAGGAGCTGGCCAGGAGCCAGGGTGTGGGCGCAGATGCTGCTGGGATGCGGCTGTGGGAGGTGAGTAACTGCTCTGAGTCACACCTGTGAGTGGGATGCACCACCTGCCTGAGCTTTGTGGATGGACTAGGCGGTGTGTTTATGGTGCCCGATACAGCCTGGCCGTAGTAAACAGAATGTGAGGCCAGTCGCTGGTTGTCGTTGCTTCTGGGACATGCCTCGGTCTTAGCTGGTAGTGGACCAGGCCATAGTCCTGTGTGTAAGTAACCAGTATTGGTATCAGTGAGACCCTAGCTCAGGACTCAGGAAATCACCAGGATCAGGGCTTCGTGTGTGACCAGGATGAGTAGGGTTAGGACCCAGGTATTGTGGGGTCAGATATCAGAGTGTAACCAGGATTACACTCAGAGTATGAGCAGGGACAGGGTGCAGAGCCTGACCAGGGTCAGGGCTCAGAGTAACCAGGATCAGGGTTCATTGTGAGTAGGGTCAGAGTTTAAAGTGTAGCCAGGATCAGGGCTCAGTGTGTGTCTAGAATTGTGGCTCAGCCTGTGACCAGAATCAGGGCTTAGTGTATGCATGGTCAGAGCTCAACTTGTGACCAGGGTCCAGACTCAATATGTAACCATGGCCCAAGCTCAGTCTACGACAAGGATCAAGGCTCAGCGTTTAGCTGATTGCTATACTCAGAGCTTGCCCTAGATCAAGATGCAGAGAGGGACTATGGCTGGGACCAAGACTTAGTGTGTGTTAGTGGTGAGGTGTGATTAAATTTAGTCTCCCAGGTGGGGTTAGTTTGTGGGTACTCGGGAGCTGTAGACAACAGCGAACAGAACAGGAGGAAGCCAGCATTGCAGGACAGAAGCGACTCTTGAGGAGGTGTGTAGACCACATGGAGACTCGGAGTACATGGGGTACAAATTGGCAGCAACTGTGGAAAGTGCAACCAACGTAGGCCCTTGGTGAGGTGGGCAACCATTATCCAGAGTGCCCAAGGGAAAGTGATAGGCAGAGAACCAGAGGCCAGTTCAGATGGAATGTTCTGAGGGTTTCTAGATAGTGATTAGCTAAAAGAAAAGCCAGTTGTGTGAAGGTCAGAGGGACAGTGCTGGGTGATGGGAACAACCTGTGCAAAGGCCCTGAGGCATGCTGAGCTTGGCCTTGGAGCTGGTCTCCCGCAGTGAGTCACCTTGCTCCTGCCTCTTCTCTAGGATCTGGGGCCTGTTTCTTGTCCTGGGGTCTCCAGTCGGACCCGCCTAATAAGACCTGGCATTCTCTTGACACGTCTGCTCCAGAGATTGCTGCTGCGCCCCCCCCCCCAATGTGCAGAGCTGAGGCTCTCATGAGTGACCCTGAGGAGCAAGCAGTCTAAGGGTGTCTGACAGCTGCCAGACCTAATGAGGGCAGACAAGGCAGATGGCCATAGAGGTCGAGAGTGGAGTCAGTCATGGCATGGGTGTGAGCCACTTGCTCAGTTAGCTGTGACCTTCCCAGAGCTCTGAAATATTTGTTAGATACTCCCCCGACCTGTCCTCCTCTCATTTTGGGCCCAGGTTCTCCATTGGTAAAGTCAAATGCAAAAGGACTGTGATCCTAGAGGGCTCACGCCTGGAGGCTGGTGCCCAGCAGTTCACTATAGGGGATACAGTGCTGTCCACAATTGCTCTTCACCATTATAGCTAGAAACTTTTGAGTTTGCATACACACATGGCTGGTCACCCAGGTCTCCTGCAAGGCCCAGAGGCCCAGGATAATTAGAGGTGCCTGCTCCTTCATACAATAGGAGTTCAGCCTCTCTCCAGAGTAGGCTTGGCTGGAGCATAGGTGCCTAGCATATACAAAGAGTGGGCTTGGTGTTAGGGCCAGGGCAAGTCATGGTAGGCAGCACAAGTCTGCCTGCTTGTGCCAGGGGTATGTGGGTCTGTATATATATTGGGTAGGTGGGTGTCTGTGGATGTGCCAAGCATGTGGCCTATGTCACCCTGTGGGTAGAGCCTAGTTAGGCCACCTCAGACCTCTTTTCATTCTGGAAGAGGGAAAAGAAGGTGGCAGGAGGAGCTGGGGGTGGTACAGAGATTCTGCTAATGCCCTATGACCTGTGACCTGGGGCACTGCCTGGCTAATGGTGTGAGCCATGAACTGTGTCATCATTTGCCGTGAGCATTCCCTTGTGTGAGCAGGGCGAACCTGCTGCCTCTGGGTTGTGCTGGGCCTGTGATAGAGAATGGTGGTGTCTATGGGCCCTGCCCTGTACTGGGATGAGCAAGATCAGATTAACCAAGGCCCCAGTCTTGTGGATGTGGGAAGTGAGTTTGGGGAGGAGGGAATCCTGGGTGCAAAGACTCTGAGGTAGAAAATAGGCATCTCAGTGACCTTTGCAACAGACTGGGGGTACTGAGCCAAGCAGGGAGGGGGTAACCAAAATATGGAGGTGAATCAGGGTACTTGCAAGAGCCGGGGCTGGGGAGAAAAAAAGAGCTTTGGTGGAGCGATGGGAAGTGGAGCTGTGGGAGGAATAATGGGGTGTATGGCCATGGAGTTGGGGTGTTGGCTGGCTGCCCAGTTAGATATAGTGGGAGCTGTGGGTGGCACCATCCTGGGACCCTGGGAGTATAGAGCCACAGCCTGAGGTCTGACTATGGGGACAGGGCTGAGTCTGTGCCTCCCTCGTCCTACCTGTGATGTGGTGTGAACCCTTCTGGAATTAAGGGACTGTTACATGAAGGAGGGAGGTGAGGGCTACTGTCAGGCATGGCCTATGACTGTCATTACATTGGGGAGGGTTTGTCCTCAGCGAGGAAGTCAGAGAACCAGGGTGGGAGGTCACAAGACCCTGGGGTTACAGGGGGCCGTGGACAGACCTCTGTTCACTGGCCATGGGTCCCGTCTCACTCCTTGTCTTCCCTGCTCCCCAGAACATGGATAAGGCGACCGTGCCATCCGTGACGCTCATCGTGGGCTGTGGCGTGTCCTCCCTCACCCTGCTCATGCTGGTCATCATCTACGTGTCTGTATGGAGGTGGGTGCCTGCTCCAGAGCCTGAAGATCCAGCCCTCACTTGCTCCCTTGTACCATCTACTCTTGACCATGCTGCCCGCTATGTTCCCAGTCCAGGTTCCTGATTGCTGTGTCACTCAGGGGCCACAGAGAAGGGATGGGGTGGGGAGCATGTTGAACATACAGGTCCTTTTTCCTACTGTCACCTGACTACGCCTTTTGCTAACCCTGAGCCCAGGCCCCAGCTGGACACACAGAACAGTTTTTCTTTGGTTACTTGGAGTCCTCTGGCTACCCACTATCCCTGTGTACCCTCATACCTAGACCTGCAAACTCCCTGGGGTCAGAAATAACTTCCTGCACCAGGCTACCAAGGCTGCAAAGATCAGCAAGGACCCCCTGTGTCCACCTCAGGCCCTGTCAGACCACTTGCAAGCTATGGGGTGGCACAACCTGTTTAAATCTCAGGCAAATATGGGTATAAGAGGATTGCATAGTGTGAATTCTCTTAATGGCTGAGCCATTAGTAGCCCACTCAGGTCACAGATGTGTCTAGGCAATACCCCCACCAGTAGGTATATGTAGCCATGGGTATGTGCCAGTGGGGTGGCCCTCTCCCTGCTTACCAGCATCTAGCCCCTCCCAGCAGCTTACAGTGAGGTTTATTCAAGGTCATTGTACACAGAGTCGTTCTAGGGCTCCCCATGTGATGGCTGGCCCCTGCGACTGGCTATTCCAATTCTCTACCCTGTGTGCTGTGCCAGTCTCTGCCTGCAGTCAGGCAGCAAGAGATCGATGTGACCAGTGGGAGAGGGGCCGTCTGTGCAGCCTCCAGCATCAGCTGCCCTCTTCTCTCTTCCCAAAGACAGAGCATCCAGAATCCTTCCTGTCAGACTCCCTCTTAGCAGGCCTTCAGGATCTGACAGCATCTAGAGCTTGGAGCTCAGAGGCTGAACTCAGCTCTGACCTGGAGAGGAGGCTCCTTGGTGTTTAAAACCCCTCCCTCAGTGAGCACTGATGGCATCACTGTGCCCTGTGAGCTGCAGACAGGGACTGTTCTGATGGCTGGTTAGGGAGCAGGGGCCAGATGAAATAAGGGCTGTGCCTACATCAAGCATGTCAGGCCCCAAGACTAGCTGAGGGCCCTCTGATCTCTACCTGGTTGGGTCTCCTTTCCCAGTGACTGATGACTAATCATCATGGTGCTGATGATTAATGGTGATGATGGCAGTGATGGAGGCCGTGGTTGTGGTTGTGATGGCCACAGCGACGGTGTTACCATTGATGACAGTAGTGGGGATGGTTGTGATGGTAGTGGTAGTGCTGTTGATGTTGATGGTGGTGGTGGTAATGGTGATCGTGGTAGTGATGGTGATGAAGGTTATGTTGCCAGTGGCTGGTGGTTGTCATAGCGGCGGTACTGGTGGTGATGGTGGTGGTAGTGGTGATGGTGGTGGTAGTGGTGGTGGTGGTGGTAGCGATAGGGATAGTGATGGTAATGATGGTGATGGCGGCAATGGTGAGGATAGAGGCAGTGATTTCAGGGAGGAAATGGAACACTGTTTCTTGGCCAGGTCACATGACCTTGATCCCTGCTAGGTGCTAACCTCAGGCCCTGACCCCTCTCACAGGTACATTCGCTCAGAGCGGTCCGTCATCCTCATCAACTTCTGCCTGTCCATCATCTCTTCTAACGCTCTCATCCTCATTGGGCAGACCCAGACCCGCAACAAGGTAGGCAACCTCTTGTCCAGCCCTGCATAGCCCTGTGCTTTTGGGTATGATGAAGATGCCCCCCACCCTGGCCAGCTGTGAGCTGGGCAGCTCTGTATGAGAGCCCTCTGTTGGCCCTTCCTAGGGCCCCTGTCTCGCTCCCACCCTGTGATCTCCATACCTTGTCCTGCAAACGGAACCCAGAATCTAGGCTTTGGGAGGGATCTCCATGGGCTACCCTAATGTATTGGAGATGGAAAGAAGGCCTGGCCCAGACACTGCTGTGTGCCATGGTAGAAACTCATAATCACAGCAGGCTCGCCTATGATTTGATGTGGGTCTGAGGGTGTGACCCCCCCTGACGACCCTCAGGCTTCAGTTTCTTCCCTGCTGAGGGATAGGCCTGACTGGAGTTTCTCAGTGGCCCCTGACCCCAGTTTGCTGGCAGCTGGGGGGGGGGGGGAAGATGAGCATCTAGTCCAGGCTCTAAGTTTCAGTGGTCCATCTCGGGGGGGACCAGTTTGCTTCCTGCCCAGGAACTTGACTGGTCTCAAAGTCACTTCTCCCAGCTGTTGTCACATGCTCATAGGGGATGGGTGAGAGCCAGCGAGCACCTGCCCAGTCCCCTTGGCTCCTGCCTGCCCAGGTTGTATGCACGCTGGTGGCTGCCTTCCTGCACTTCTTCTTCCTGTCCTCCTTCTGCTGGGTGCTCACCGAGGCCTGGCAGTCATACATGGCCGTGACTGGCCGCCTACGGAGCCGGCTCGTCCGCAAGCGCTTTCTCTGCCTGGGCTGGGGTGAGCAGGGCAGCTGGGGTCGGGAGGTGAGGGTGGACTGTGGCTAGGATTGTTGGGGTATAGATCAGCAGCTTGGAATGAGGGCGGGCAGTGAGCTGGGCTTAGTGGCCAGGAGTGAGGGCAGGCAGCTGGAGAGAGGGCGGGCAGTGGGCTGGGGTGAGCAAAGCGTCAGGGGATGGGCAGATTGAGTAGGATGATGGGCTATCTCTGTTCTCAGCATTCTTGTACTGGCCTTCTGCTTATTCCTACCATTCCTAGAGTCTCCATTTGCCACACTGGCTTCTCCGTTTGAGCCTCCAATCCTTTATAAGATTGCCAGAAAATGCAGCCCAGCCATGCCCATTAACATTCAGATGACAAATCACAGTACACTGTAGCTTGTACTCGGGCATATGCTCTGAAAATGGTACCCTCTTTCTATGAGACTGAGCGGTAGCAGGCCGTGTCTCGCCCTCTGATCTGCACCCCTACAGCATTCTCCTAGCCCTCACCATCCGACCCTGTCCACCTCTTTCCTGTAGTGATGCCCTCATTTGGAGCTTCCCTCTTGCTGCTTTTCCCTCGGCATATGTGGGTAAGGGATGGCAGTACTGACCACCCCTTCTTCTGATCTTCTTCTAGGGCTCCCTGCACTGGTGGTGGCCATTTCTGTAGGATTCACCAAGGCCAAGGGGTACAGCACCATGAACTAGTGAGTTGGGCAGGCGGGCATGGCATAGCCTTCTGCAGACCGGGGAGATGTCCCACCTTGCTTTCCTAGGAGGGTGGGTCCTTAGGCAGCTCCCTCACTCCTAGGCAGTTAGGTCCTGTGGGCAGGGAGATGAAAAGAATGCCTGGGGCCTCCTGCTTCCTCGTTGGGTGATCTTGATGGCCATGAACTTCTGGAGTCCTCATCCCCGTGTGTGCAAGTGTTGAGAAGAACCCCAGAGGACAGCAGATGCACCCTTGCTGTGGGTGTTATAGGGATGAATGAGTCAGTTTCATAGATGAAGCCCTGGGGCAACTGACCTAAAGCAGTGTGAGCTCCATGGGTACAGATAGGACCCTAGGCTCAGGATGGGGCTAGAAAGAGGGAAAACAAACCCTGAGGGGTTGACTAGCTCACACTAGTCAGTCTCTGGATGGGGATGGTGGCTAAAACTAGCAGAGTGTGGGTAAGAGAAAACCTAAATTATTCTGGAGCCTCAGGGAGGTAGTGGTAGGGCTCTGGAACCCCTGTATCTGAGCCGTGTTGGAGTCACTGATGCGGGATTCTAAAGAACGGAGAGGAATGCTTTGAACAGCATTGGCTAGAATGCCCAGGCCAGAGCTGGAGGCAAGCCTGCAGCATGCTGAGTATCCTCTATAATAGTGATTCTCAACCTGTGGATCATAACCTGCACAGGGTTGCATACAGATATCCTGCATATCAGGTATTTACATTTAATTCATAACAGTAGCAAAATTAGTTACAAAGTAGCAAGGAAAATCATTGTTTTATGGCTGGAGTCACCATAACATAAGGAACTGTATTAAAGGGCATTAGGAGGGTTGAAAATCACTGCTCTATGTGTTTGATCTCATGTGGGTACCATGGCTGGTGCCCAGGGGCTGATGAAGAGCTAGGCAAGTGAGCATAGGACTTTTGACCTAGGCCAGGAACCTAATGTCAAGGAGGGCCTGCTAGAGACTCTGAGAAAGAATCAGAAAGGACCCCACTCACATAAGGGCAGAGGGGAGCCCCAGGGCTTCTAAGAAGGTGTGCCCTATTCCCTGACCTGGGTTATGCTTCCATTTGTAAGTGGAGGTAAGTTGGCTGCATGGGGACTCCTGGGGATCCAAACCAAAAAAAAAATTGTGCAAGTTTCCTTATTTCTTTTATAGTCACCCTGTTCATATACTTCTTCCTGACACACTGGTTGCCTGGTGGGCATGGGGCTGGGTACTGACAGCTTGTCTTCTTCCCCAGCTGCTGGCTTTCCCTGGAGGGAGGACTTCTGTATGCCTTCGTGGGACCAGCCGCTGCAGTTGTGCTGGTACTGACACAGCCCCTCCCCTCCCCTATCTCCCAAGCTGGACCCCTGGGTCTTTATCTGCCCCGTGGCTGGCCTACGGGAGATGCTCGCCAGCTCCATTCACCCCGCTCCCGTTGCTCAGTGTGCTACACTGTCGTCCTCTTCCCTCCATGAGCATGACTTGTCTGGATGTTGGGCATTGATTATGTACCTGCTGGGAGACCCTTGCAGGTTTGGTGAGTAACAGGGAGGTGGGGGACAGATGGACGGATGGACAGCTGTAGCTGCAAGGATTGAGCAGACATGGCCCAGGTCATGCATGTCCACCACAGCTGGCAGCACCCCGAGTGCCAAGAGCTAGGGCTGCTTGTTTCCTGGTGTCAGAGGGACCTTGCCTTTCCCTGGCCCTTCAGTTGACATGCCCATTTGGAGAAGAGTCCAAAACTACAGCTGGGGACTGGCCCAGGGCCAGGAATGGCTTGGCTCAGCATGGGAGTAGATGCTCTCTCTAGTCCTTGTCTCCCCGTCTCACCCTCTGTCGGGGAAGAGTGGTCAGGGAGCTTGGAGCAAGTCAGTCTAGCAGACAGGTGGCCCAGGAGCAACTGACCCTGCAGAGTGCGAGTAGTGGGTCTGAGGAGAGCATGTAGGTGGTAGAGAGTTGGATGACTGCCGGAATCCTTGTTCCTTACTCCTCAAAGGCACCCAAATGGAAGCCCATATGGGTATCACTGGTCAGTGCCTCGGAGGGTGGCTGCCAACCAGTTGGACTTAGATGTGGTTTCAGAGTGGGCTCCCGGGTCTGCATGAGGGACGGTTGAGAAAAAAGGCTCCTACCCCTACTTGTCCTCATGTATCAAGGATCCTCTGCCCTGGCCACTCTTCCTGTGACAGCCAATCAGAGCCTGTTGCAGAAGGGTAGCCTGGCCTAGAAGGATACCTGCAACCCAGCTGTGTGGTCAGCAAGCTAGGAGGCAGGACTACACCAGGAGACAGGGCCGTGTGTGTGGAATCCATAGAAACTGTCAGCCCCTGGGCCTCTGGGCATGATCCCTGGCACAAGAGTTTAGAGTGTCTCCCCACCTTGACCTTTGCCCCTTAGGGCCAGGCCAAAGCCTTGGGGTCCTGGCAGCCTTTCTATAAAAAAAAGAATTACCTAGGGGCCCTCAAGGATTCTCTTGAAGTGGGGATAAGAAGTAAGATTTGAGCAAGGCCTTGTCCCTTGTCCCTTGTCCCTTGTCCCACATCCTGGCAGAGATAGCCAAAGAGAGGCAAGGTGACAGGGTCCCCAGGGCACGGAGACTGACTGTGGACTTAGGAATGATTCTTACCTTGTATAGTAATTTGGTTAGCAGCTTAGAGACGCACCTGAAGCCCTAAGAAGCCCTCAGGAGGAACCCAGTGGAAATTGTTAGTGGGGTTGAGGGTTAGTGAGATTGGAGGAGATAAGGAACAAGGGGTGACCAAGATCAGCTGGTGAAACCATCCTTGACCCTGGGCTAGGAGCTTACCCTGGGGTGGAGTGTTGGTGGTGTAGAGTACATTGAAGACAGGGCTCTGTATGAATCCGACCGGCCAGCACTGGGGTCTGAATTGTGGGGGCACATGAGTCACCCTTGGAGCTCTGTGGACATTCTGGGCATGGCCGTTGCTGATCTGGGCACCCTTGGGCTCTGGCCCACTCCTGCCTCTGCCCGGCAGGTGAACATGGTGATCGGAATCCTGGTGTTCAACAAGCTCGTGTCCAAGGACGGCATCACGGACAAGAAGCTGAAGGAGCGGGCAGGGTAGGCCCTGTGGCCCTGGCACCTTGCCCTTCTTGGCTGGAAAGACCCAGAGCCCACCCACCATTAAGTCCCAAATCCAGTCTGACAGTTCAGGTGTCCTGGAACAGATTGGGAAACTGGGGTACAGAATCTAAAGGCTTTTTCTAGCCGGTCAGTCTCTGTCTTGCTCTGTGCCTCAGTTTCTTTATCAGACCTGTAACAAGATGGGACCCTTTAGCGTCTCCAGAAACATTTCCAAGCTCATTGCTCAAAGAGAGCCCCCTCTGCTGGGCTCAGGCTGGTGGGAGGGCACCCCAGGCCCAAGTCTGGGAGTGCTCTCCCTGTCCCCTGAATCCCATAAGAGGCCTTGCCTGTCTGGTGCCTTCTTCACTGGAGGACAGCTAGGGACAGGTGGGACAATGCTCCTCCCACACGACTCAGGCACCTACTCTGTGAGTTGTCCTGGGAGTGAGGATGACATGAGCGTCACTGCTGCCTCAGCTTAGGGACATTGAGGGTCACAGGAAACTGGGGTGGTAGCTTTGCCCTGCCCAGAGTTCTCCCTGTCCCACCTTCTACATCCTGCAGCTGGTGTACTGGTGTCTTTGTGGGGGTCCTACCCTGCCCCTCCCCTCTGTGCCTGTCTTGCTTGGTGTCTTTCTCTGTCTCTCACTGTCTCTCTTTTTCTGGTTCCTCCTTCTCTGCCCAGTGACTTCTCTGGGTGCATGATGGGCTCTGGCCCTGGTTAGAGCCCTTAAGTGGGCTGAGGTGACTCTGGTCACTGTGCTGGGTGCTCTTCTGCCTCAGTCTTGCTGTCCACCCCAGAACAGTGGGCCCGCATCAGAGTCCAAGCCCCATGTATGTGGGCTAAGCTGTGTCTGGAGTTGTAGCTGTGAAGGTTTCCTTGAACTTTGCAGCATTGGCCTGCTTGATTTGCTCTTAGAATAGCCGCAAGGAAGCTGCCAAGACCATATCCCCTCTTATCAGAGTAAACAGAAGTATAGGAAATGGGGAAAACTGGGAGAGCTGGAATCAGACCCCAGTTACGGGTGTCGTGAACCAATGCATAGATGGGAAAGTGTACATAGATGCTGTGTGTACATGCACACATATCGCTCCCCCCACACACACACACACGTGCATGCACACACACACAGGGCTGCCATACAGCTCAGCCTATTTCTGCTGTCCTTGTGAGGCCTGCAGGTGGATCCTCCTTCCGTGACCCAGCACAGTGGGAGGAAGAAGGATATCAAGGCCTCCATCGGATCTTGCTGCTCTCTATAGTTAGTGACAAAGGCATACCATCAGTCAGCAGATGCTAGCAGTCTGCTGCCCATCTCGTTCCCTGCCCTAGGCTTGGGTCCCTTAGATGACTGAGTGCCTCAGGCTACCGTTTCTGCTCCTCACCTCGCGGTTTCGAGGGAACCTGTTTGCTTTTGTTTCAGCCTTTGATTTCACTTGCAGTCAGCTGCCCGTGCCCCCCCTCGGGCGTACCCTCACGTGTGCCGAGTGCGGAGTCCTCTCTGCTGCCGAAGCCACCTCCGACGCCACCAGTAACGCCATGTTAGTGCCTTGCTGCCACCTTGGAGCAGCCCTGCATGGGCTCTGCTCTCTCCCGAGTCACATTTGTTTGTTTTATGTTTTTCTTTCATTTCTTTCATTTCTGCCGTCCCCTCTGGATTTCCAAGGCAGCCATGCCCTCTGCCTGCCCTCTGCCTGCAAGCTTGTCTCGCCTAACTCAAGGCCTGGTTGCTATGCAGCATATAAGATGCTTGGGAGTCAAGGAGTGGGTCAGCTAAGGTATAGAATGGGACTGAGTCCAAGGAGAGGTGGAGTGGGCCTGCACTGCTTCCTGCTGCTCCCCGAGTCCCCCAGCAATGCTGGCCCAGAGCCTGGCCTCAGCCCCCACCTCCACAAGACAAGTTGATAGGTGATAGAATCATGTGAGTGTGTATATATGCGTGTTTGACAGGTTATGAACCTGTGCACATTGCTCACATATAAGAGTAGCTGGATATGTATGCAGTATGTGTGTGCCACTGTGCATAGGGAGTAGGTATGCTTATAGGTGTGCATAGAGGTTCCCATATGTGAGAGTCGCTGGGTATGTGGACAGTGTGCTGCTATGCATGGAGGTGCCCAAGTGTAAGAGTGACTGGTATGTGTGCAGACAGGGGGAAGAAAGTGTGCAAGTATGAACAGGAGAGTGGTGAGTAGCTGTGAGTATGTGTGTGTGTGGGGGGGGTGATTGTTGTACCTGTAAGCGTACAACTTTAAGAATGTACCTGGGCATAGATGAAGGTGTATGGATGCATGTATAACTGAGATATGTTATCCCCAATGGGTGTGTATGTTGTGTGTCTGTGTGGGCACTCAGGGAGATATGACCATGGGGACAACATACAAAGAACAAGGGATATTGATCCCTGACTTGGCTATGACAACATAGCTGTGTTCAGCATCGAAGGTCATTTTATCCAGACTCCTGCCTCCTTCAGGTCATAGCTGTAGCAGAGACCCCAAACACTAACCCTCTCAGGTCCTCGTGCTCATTCTCTGAGCAGGCACTGGAGCCCAGGACTCTTGGTGCCTCAGGCAGTTATGAGGGCCAGGTTACTCTGAGTGGATAAGAGGATGTACATGGTATAGGACCCAACCAAGGAGAGCAGCCTGTTTCCATGCTGGGCCCACACTGCTGTGAGCCCCAATGACCACCTTTTGGATCAGCAGTCTTTCTGGGTGGAGTGCAGAGAAACTCGGGTCCAGCCTGAGCTAAACAACTGAGTCCTGGGGTCCTAAAGGTCAGGCAGCAGCTGGAGGTGGGGACACCAAGGTCTCCGGAACTCTTTTGGTGCTCTGGGGTATCTGAGTCTCTAGGGAGCTTGTGACTCCTCTTCCTCTAGGTTCCTGGGGAAGTGATTTGGAAACTGGTGGACTGGAGGAGACACAGAAATGGCAGGGCTGACCTTGTGGGAAAACAAGGGATCTCTGCTGATGGGGAGCCCTGTTCCTGTACCAGACACAGGTGACATGAGGTGTCAGGGGTCCCTGCTCAAAGAACGTCTGCTTTGAAGGGAAAGGAAGGGGTTACTGGGCTCATTGATGTGGTGGAAACAAGGCTAGAGCTGAGAATGGCCCTGCCAGTGACAGGAAGTCATTTACTAGAGGGCCAGCCTGCCATTGTTCTGTTCTAGCTTCAGGGACTGGACGGACTGGGGTTGGGGGGGAGATACTTCTGGCTTCTGCAGCCATGAGGGAGGGAGGTGGAGTAGCTGGCACAGTGCAGGGAGACTCCACACTGTCCTCAGCTCCAAAAGTATGGGTGGGGTTAGCAGGGAACCATTAGTTGGGGCTTTGTGCCTCCGGTGGGATTCCCTCTAAGAAGGGGGTGATAGGTTGTATAGTTGACTGGAAATGGAGACTTATGAGGTACAGTTTAGGAGCCCACACTTTGGGGCATTGAGGGAAAGGTGAAATCAAGGTGATTCCTGGTTTGGGCCTGAGCTGGGGAAGGTGAGCTGACAGAGATCTGGGCAGGGCTGAGAAAGCCAGTCCTGAGTACCCTGGCTACAGGTGGCTGCTATGTTCACCAAGTGGCTGGGGGCAGGAAGCTCCCTGGAGTCAGCATAGCATGGCTTCACAAGGGCACAAAGGTAGGCCTGGCAGAGGCCATGGTAAAGGGCTACTGTGGCCTGCTGTGTGATCTCAGAGGCCAGAGAGGTGAGGGTGGCTGTGCCCTTACAAGGCCAGATCCCAAATAGGACCCCTGCCAGGACTATACTCTGGTTTGGTAGGAGTTTGGGGGATCCTCTGTTCTACTGGGTTCTCCCATAAGCCCTGCTTCCCTAGATCCCACTCTGTCCAGTCCCCTTCTCCCATCTGCTCCTTTGTGGGGGACAGTATGACCCCAAGAGAGAAGGAACAAGTGATCCCGATGTCCACCTGACTCCTGGAAATGCTGCGATATAGACAGGCCATAGCGGCTCCTGGGAGACAAGCTGAGACTGGGGACAAGGCACAATTCTCAAGCAGTCACATGCCCCATGTCCTCAAAGCAGCACCATGTCCCCACCTGAGCATGGGGAAAGCTCAGTGGTTGCAGGCCAGGTACTGATGGAGGACATGGAAGGCTCAGGCCGCTAGGCTCCCTGTGCCAGCCAGGTGCTCGAAGAGACAGGGCTGAAGGTAGGGGTGGCTCAAGTTGGGGCCATAGGAGAGCACTGAGACTCAGGAGGTGAGCTGCAGCCCCGGAAGAGGAAGAACACCCTTTGTGTCTGTTCTGTCTGTCTTGGTCTCTTCTCTGACCCTCTGGACTTGTCCAACTGTCCACTGTCTGTCCTGTCTCTCCCTCACAGTTTCTCTCTCTCCTTCTCTTAGTACTTCCCAAGACTCCTGTCTCCCACAGCCATCTTGTATTGTAGTTGGGGCCCTGGGTCTTAGGGTCCAGGGCTCAGGGCCTGGAAGATGAAATCAGGGGCTACCTTGCTCTGAGCATCTCTCCCGTCCCTCTGCCCTTCCTGTCTGTCACCCTTCTGTCACCTCCTGGATAGGGTCCAAGTTCTCTCCCGAAAAGCTCCTCTACTTTGCTGGGTCCCTTGCAAGCCCTCAGGCCTGGGGATGGGGGAAAGGGGTGTCCTCAGGAGAGGTGGAGCGCCCACGGGGCCGCCCTGACGCCCTCCATCCCCAGGGCCTCCCTGTGGAGCTCCTGCGTGGTGCTGCCGCTGCTGGCGCTGACCTGGATGTCTGCCGTGCTTGCTGTCACCGACCGCCGCTCCGCCCTCTTCCAGATCCTCTTTGCTGTCTTTGACTCACTGGAGGGTTTCGTCATCGTGATGGTCCACTGTATTCTGCGCAGAGAGGTGGGCGCCCTGGGCCTGGGATCTACCTGTGTCCTCTCGAGGTGAACCTGTGCCCAGCATGTAGCCAGGGTTGCTGGAAATGGCTCCCTTTAGGGGATAGTTTATTTTTAAGGATAGCTCATCAGCTATGGGAGGTCTGTGGCTGACAGGGCAGAGGAGGAGAGCCAGTACTCAATGTTTGTAGCATTTTCTGAACCTTTCAGAAGGTGAGAACATGAGGTTCCTATCCAGCTATATCCGGATGGCCACCAGCAAGAGACAGTAATGAGATGAGTGGCTGTCCTGATCTCAGAGAGGCTGCACAGTGGACGGAAGTGCGTCTTACCTCAACAGACCAACTTCTGATCCAGATAGAGTCAGGATGTGGCTGGGGGCTAGAAATAGCCTGCTGCCTCCATTCTCCTCGGAACGTTCTAGACTGCTGCCAAGGGATCTGGACTGCGGCAGGTACAAGAGGACAAGAGCCCACTGTAGCCGCAGGAACCAGCGACCTCAGTGGACAGAAGAGCCTGGACTGGCAGGGCAGTGGTGAGGTCAGATGCCACTGATCCTCTAGGGAGGCTCCAGAGGAGCCCCCTGAGAAAGAGGGCTGCCTGAATTTGCAAAGGTATTTGTGAGGATATCACAAGGCCTGTGCCCGCCTTCCTCCTTCCAGTGCTAGCCATGTGTCACTCAGTTGTGGGAAGCTACCTTGCAGCCCCACAGCAGCGCACAGGGAAGAGTGGCTTCTGAGTCCTGGCCCTGGCCCTGGCTTCCTGAGCACTGCATCCACACTCTCGGTCGCCCTGCCCTCCAGGTGCCATGACTTGTAGCGCACAGGCAGGTGAAGTCTAGTCTCCTATTGTAAGGCCACTGATCCACACTAAGGTCACACTTTTGCCCTCTGCTCCTCCCTCAGTGTTCTGGCTTCTTCAGGGCCAGCTGACACTCCAGGAAGTTAACAGGACAGATGTCAGCAGCATAGCAGAGCATCCCACTAAGGTGTGGCCCTAGGACTGGCATCCTCACAAAGCCTTGTCAGGAAGCTGAGATATGACCAATAGCCAGAGGACTTACAACTCCATGTTGGGTAGGGTGAGCACATGAAGCCCCCTTCAACCCTTGTGTATGGTTCCTGCTGCAGGTCTCAGCACCTCACTGCTGTCTCCAGAGCCTGGATTTCAGGATAGTGTTTGATCCTGCGTCCTTCCTCATGCTGATCCTATTATCCTGGGTGATGAGCCACTTTCTTTGACTTTTCTTGCCGAAATGTATGCTGGCCTTGTGGCTGGGCTTAGCCTTGTCCATCCAGCCTGCAGTCAGGATGGGTTCTGGGGGTACTGACTGGCCCTGAAGCCAGGTACCTGCTTTAGGCTAATGTTCTTACAGTGACCTCCAGCCAGTGGAGTCTGCAGCTCCTTCTCAGCATCAGAAACTCCAAATGTCTTCATCTTACATCCTCTCTCTGCACTGCCGTGCTAACAAGGAGGCTTCTTGCAGAGGGTGCTGTGTGGGGTCTTGACACTCTGCTGACACACTTTCCCTCCTCCAGGTTCAGGATGCTGTGAAGTGCCGTGTGGTAGACCGCCAAGAGGAAGGCAACGGAGACTCAGGAGGCTCCTTCCAGAATGGCCACGCACAGCTCATGGTAGGACTGGTTGCCTGGGAATGTAAGCCTCTAGGTTCTCCCTGTGCCCAGAGTTCTTCTGGGCCCTCATAGCCCTATTAGGTGAACTCTGAGCCCAAGTTGAAATCCTTAATCCAGGGTTTTGAGCTGGGAAAGGCTGTTGGTGAGTTGGGTGGGGGCTGGTGTGCATCCTTGCCTTCTTCAAAGCTGGCCCATCCAGAACTGCGCACAAGCTATCTGTGAGTTTACCCATACTGATTGCTTCAACTATGGGATCTAGGCATAGTAACTTCTGAGCAGAGCCCTGGGCTCTGCAGGCCAGCTTCTCACCCCTCTGGCATCACCCGTGTGTTGTCCCAGATGCCCTGTACCCCAGGGGTGAGGCACTGGGGAGCATCTCCAAGTGGTGTCTACACAGGGCCAACCCTCTGGGTCTCAGTGCCACCATCTAAAGGGAACAGGTGTCAGCTGGAAAGGTACTTTGTCGTTCAGGGACACGGTTTTCCCTCCTCTTGATGTTTCTCCTGGCCTGACCTCTGACCTCAGGGGAAGACTGCCACCTTCCCAGCATCCTGGCTCCTGCATTTCAGGGAAAGACCTCCAGTTTGAGATTAAAGGCCAGACTGACCCCCCTGGAGCCCTGTGACCTCTGGATGGGTCTTCTAGACCCAAGCTCCTAAGGTGGTCCTGGGTCACCACTATGGCCTCCCCAGCTGCTGTCCTCAGAGATGCAGTGGGGACCATGTTTCTGCTCTAGGGGAGGCTGGTGCTGGCCCAGGTCTGTGTCTGTCCCATGCTGTCTGTCTTGGATGGAATGGCAGAGGCTCTGGAAGCCCTGGCAGCTGCATGGCTTTGGGGGAGCATGGCCCGAGGGGCAGAGGCCGGCTGCTCCGTGATGTCTTGGAGGGAGAGGACGCATGGTTGATTGCACGCACACACAGGCAGACACAAACACATGCATGGAGAAACGTGCATATGCTCCTTCACATAAATGCATAGAAGTGCATAGAGAACTCTGACTCATGTGTGAGTCATACACACAATACTCCTCTCACTCCTCTCAACATACATGTTCACGCTCACACAGTACAGTCCTCTGCCCTCACAAAGGCACATGTACCACGAGCACACAGAAACAGAAACACGGCCACACATGCATGTGAATGCTGACAGACACATCCATGCTTGCATAGACAAGCATACAGATGCATGGCCACTCCATGTGGCCCTTGGACTAATAATGTGGGCTGGGGTTCTTGGTGACAATATTAGCATATTTGTGACCTCTGAGGTGTGGTATGGCTTTGGTGGCCCCCTTCCTACTACCCTGCAGGTTGCAACCCCACCTGCTACCAGCCTTACCCTCATCTTGCCCTTGGTCTCTGTCTTGCAGACTGACTTTGAGAAGGATGTGGATCTGGCCTGTAGATCAGGTGAGCGCCTGACAGGTGAGAGCCATGGTGGCCAGTCGGCCCCTCTGCTTCTTTCTTTATTCCCAGCATCCGTTTGCCCTACCTGTCCCCATCCCACACCCGCTGCCACATGGCCCAGCCTGGGCTCCATCCCCCGCCCCCCACCAAGACTTCAGGAATCCTGTGGGCATGAGCCCCAGAAAGCTGTCGTGGAGCCCACGCTGGGCTGGGACCATCTTTGGTACCTTTTCACTCGTCTGTCTGTCCCTTTTCCCCTCATAGGGCAGAGCAGGTAGGCCACTTCTGTGTGAAACCCAGCCCTGCTCCTGCCTGTGCCCAAACACTCCATTGTCACCTGCCCCTACCTGCCCTCCCTCAAGCACCTGTGTTCTGTGTTGTCTTCATTTCTTCATTGTTAACGGGGTGGAGGAGGGGCAGGTTGCACTTTGAGAATGGGAGACCTCAGTAGTGGGAGGAAAGAAAGGGAAAGGACCTGCTACTGGGACCCTAGGCTAGTGCTGAGCTTCCAAAGTCAAGAAGGGACTCAGTGTCTCCCCATGTTGCCAATGTCAGGTCATAGCATCTGAGGACCAGGGGCCAGGGCAATAGCAGACAGTCTCTGGCTATGGAGGTGCCATCTGACTTTACTCTCTCTGGTTGCCAACTGGGCATTGTCGGCTGCTGCCTGGGTGGTATTCTTGGAGGAGATAACCTTGGGATGGGGTGGAAAAGTCCTTCCCTGGGCTTCAGTGATCCAAATCCACAGCCTAACCGAGATACAACTCCAGCACTAGGGGAGATACAACCCCAGCACTAGGGGTTGGGTGCTGGCCCACCCTGGTGGTATGTTCTGGGCTTCCTGTACCCAGCTGTGCCTTGTAGAGCACAAGGTGCTGTGGGCTGAATGTATCTGATGGTACATGATAGTGTAGCATGCATCATTACATGATAGGTGTCGAGGATAGGTGTCCACGATAGGCAGAGTCCCTGTTGGGAGAGGCTGGGATGAGCTGTGTGCAGGCTGAGGAGGTCCTTGAGATGGTGTTGACCTCTGGAGATGGGCATACAGATTGGTAGAAAAGATGGCTAGTCTACTGCTGGGGTATTGGGGAAGGGCTGGAAGAGGACAGTGCTGGGTGTCTCAGTCACTGTTCTATTGCTGTGAAGAGACACCTTGGCCAAGGCAGTTCTTACGAAAGAAAGCTAGTTGGGGAGCTTACCTACAGTTTCAGAGTTTTACTCCATTATCATGGTGGGGAGCATGGTGACATGCAAGCAGGCGCTGGAGCAGTAGCTGAGAGCTACAACAGGATCCATCAGCCAAGAGACTCTGGGCATGGGATGACTTCTGGAACATCAGAGTTCACCCCCAGTGACACACTTCCTCCAACAAGGCCACACCTCCTGATCCTTTTCAAACAGTACCACCCCCTGGTGTCTAAGCATTCAGATATGACCTATGGGGGCTGTTCTTATTTAAACTCCCACACTGGCTGATAGTCTGGAAGAGCCAAAGGTTGTCATTGAAGGTGAGTTAGGAGCGAGGCACCTTAGGCCCGAGAAACTAGGATGTTGTGAATGACCATACTTGATGGTAAGAGATGGTAAGAGCTGCTGGTGGGTCCCAAGGCTGGGCTAGATGTGACCAGAACAGTAAGCTTCCTAAGAAGTGGGTGTGACCTTCCTTGCTCTAGAGAGAGTGCCCAGGAGGGGCCAGCATGCACGGCTGCCTTGGCTCAGAGCTAGTCTGGTGCTCTACTGGCCAGTGGGGCTAAGTTGATGCATGAGTGACAGGTGCGGTGTATGGTGAGCTGGAACCCACACCAGATGTTCGACATTTGGGATAACTAACCCAAGAGAGGTGAAGGGGTGGGGACTTCAGGAAGGACTTTTTCAAGGAGGAGGGACAACCAAGGGCAGGAGAACCCTTCATAGGGGTTGAGCTCATGTGTCAGGTCTCTTGGTCCTTGGGGTTGATGTGCCTATGGCAAGCACAACCTCCCAGTAAGGACTTTTGTGGGGCTGAGTACTACAGGGGAGCCTGGACTCAATAAAGGAAGCTGTTCTGCCCACCTGGAGGTAGCTTGTTCCTGTGCTTTCCAGCAGAGGGCACCCTTGCTTGCCTTTCAGAATTGCCATGGTGGGCTGTGTATGAGTGACTGTCTTTGTCTTGGGAGACAGGCGGACATTCGCATGGGCCAGTCTCATTGGAAAAGGCAAAGGAACTTTGTGGCTGTCCAAGTGCCAGCATAGGTGGGGTGGGTGTCAGGGCTGATGTGGGTCGAGATCAGGGTGGCAGCAGTATTGGCCAGGCTGAGCCCCCTACTGCTGCAGACCAACCTCACTGCTCTGACGCCCACTTCCTATCTGCTGTCTTTTCCGATGCTCCCCATTAGTGCTGAATAAAGACATCGCAGCCTGCCGCACAGCCACCATCACAGGCACCTTCAAGCGGCCATCACTGCCTGAAGAGGAGAAGCTCAAGCTGGCCAAGGGCCCACCCCCCACCTTCAACAGCCTGCCAGCTAATGTGTCCAAACTGCACCTGCACGGTTCACCCCGCTACCCCGGTGGGCCACTGCCCGACTTCCCCAACCACTCCCTCACCCTCAAAAAGGACAAGGCCCCTAAGTCTTCCTTTATCGGAGATGGGGACATCTTCAAGAAACTGGACTCAGAGCTGAGCCGGGCTCAGGAGAAGGCTCTGGACACGAGCTACGTGATCCTGCCCACGGCCACGGCCACACTCCGGCCCAAACCCAAGGAGGAACCCAAGTACAGCATCAACATTGACCAGATGCCCCAAACCCGCCTCATCCACCTTAGCATGGCACCTGACGCCAGCTTCCCCACCCGTAGCCCACCTGCCCGTGAGCCCCCAGGTGGTGCGCCCCCTGAGGTGCCCCCTGCCCAGCCCCCACCACCTCCACCTCCACCACCCCCTCCACCCCAACAGCCCCTACCCCCACCACCCACCCTGGAGCCTGCACCCCCCAGCCTGGGGGATACAGGGGAGCCTGCGGCCCACCCAGGACCTAGTTCAGGTGCTGGGACCAAGAATGAGAATGTGGCCACCCTGTCAGTGAGCTCCCTGGAGGTGAGGGTGGTTTGGAGTCTGCAAAGCAGAGATGGGTGAACCCCCAGACAAGGGCTGAGGGCATGTCAGAGGTGGGTAGGGCTAGCCCAGGGACAGAATCTTTGTGTACTCAAGCCCCTTTCACAGAGCAACAGTCTCTGTGGTTAGCCTAGTGCTTGGCCCCAGAGCCTTGTTCAGCCCTTAGGACATGGGATTGAGGTCAAGATGGGACCCTCCGGGAGCCCCTGCACCCCCAGGATGTGCCACCATCTAACTTTCAACCTCTTAGGGGCAGCTAGCACCCTGAGTTCACTTTTAGGGGTTCAGCCTTGTAGCCCCAAGATCAGCTCTCCTTAACCTGTGTAGCCTGGCTAAGCTGGACATTTCAGAGGGAGGACAAGGCCTGGAGCAGGGAGGGGAGACCTCACCGCACACAGAAAACTTGGGGTAGTGTTGGAGTAAGGTCTCTGAGACCCCACCCACGTTTCATGATTATCAGGGGGTTTCCCTTTGGTCTCAGCACACCCTCTGGACCCAGAGCTGGACCTGTATCCCAAGGGAACAGGCAACCTTGGGTACCTGATAGATCCTCAGCATGAACCCTGAAGGCAGGCTGGTGTTTCCCCAAATGTCAGACAGGAGGGCCTGGACATGTGGTCTAGGCAATTTTAGGGAAGTTAATGCTCATGCACACAATCCCTTTCTCCTGCAGCGGCGGAAATCACGGTATGCAGAACTGGACTTCGAGGTAAGTGCAGGTGCCTCTCTCTGGACAGACAGGCTGGGTACTAGGGCCTTTTCAGGAAGTGGGAGCTGGGGAAGAGCTCAAGGTCAGAGCCCAGGGACCAACAGCAGGTGGGACAAGGGGGTGGCTGTGGATGTCCATCCTGGCTCAGGACTCCTGGCCCCCAACCCACAGAAGATCATGCACACACGGAAGCGACACCAGGACATGTTCCAGGACCTGAACCGGAAGCTGCAGCATGCGGCTGAGAAGGAGAAGGAAGTACCAGGCGTAGACAGCAAGGTCAGGAGGGTGGGCTCTGCCCCAACCACCACCAATCTCACTTCCTTCATACCCTCACTCCCTGGATTCTTGATTGGTCGTTCCCTGTGCTGGCTGTCCCCTCTCAGATGTGCACAGGGCAGGGCAGGAGGATCCTGAGCCTGGCCCTGCCCTGCAGGTTCCAGACTGTCCATTCCCACAGCACTGACCCTGACCCCATCATGGGAGCTGCAGTTCTCACCAAAACTGGGGCAGTGGGATGCAGGGGTTGCTGCTCTTTGGGAATCCCTCCCTCAGAGCCCTCCTCTCTCTCCTCCCTTCTCTCCCATGGAATCACTCCCATTCGCCCCTGCCCTGCCTACACTGCTGGCATCGAGTAGCCAGAGAAACAGCAGACTCCCAACAAGAGGGCCTGGGAGAGCCTCCGCAAGCCCCATGGGACGCCCGCCTGGGTGAAGAAGGAGCTGGAGCCACTGCCCCCTTCTCCACTGGAGCTTCGGAGTGTGGAGTGGGAGAAGGCGGGTGCCACTATCCCACTCGTTGGCCAGGACATCATTGACCTCCAGACCGAGGTCTGAGCGGGCGGGCGGTGGCCCCGCACCGGGCCAGCAGGTGGGATGCTGCTCTGCCCGCTCCACCATAGGACGGGCATAGATGCGCTCGCGGTGGCGGGCCGGGTCCAGCCCCGGCCTCAGGGCGCTCGGAGGCGGCCAGGCAGAGGGCCCGCGGTGCTGGGACCAGAGCCAGACACAGGACAGGAGGTGGCATGGCCCGCGGGCACAGGGCTCAAGAGGCCAGATGGTGCCTCAGACTCTGCCCTCCTTGGGCAAGCCCGGACAGGCAGGCGGGCGGCTGTGGACATGGACAGGCCTGGTGTGGCCAGCGTCCCCAGGATGCCCACCTCAGCCACCACTGCAGAGGACTGCCTGTGGCCCGCCAGCCTGGCTCCGTTTTTTAGACACCCCTACCCCTTGGGAAGCAGCCAAACCCCCCCCACTCCCTTCCAGGACCCTGGGCCCCTCCAAGACCCAGGCAGAGAGCATGGTCCTGACCCAGAGACCCAGGGCCAGGACTGAGACCACTCTGGAAAGAAGTGGTGTGGGGAATCTATTTTTTCTCTCCTTTTCTTTTCTTCAATAAAAAGAATTAAAAACCCAGTGTTTTGTGGTCTATTCCTCTCTGCAGCAGCCTGGGCCCATTCAGCGGCAGTTGGGCTGCTCCTGCCCTGCATGCCTACCATGACCCTCCTTACCTCACCCTGCCCTGCCTTGGGTGCCTGCCATCTAAGGGGTCCCTTGAGGCTGACTTGCCTCAGTTCTCCACCCCAGAAACATTGGACTCCCTGACTCCTGAGTCACCTGGAAAGACAGGGTTAACAGGTAGCAATTTAAAAAACAACCTGAATGGTGAAAGGAGACACAATGTGTGGAGTTGGAGCCTAGGGACCTCCTCCTACCTGCAGCCTGCCTGAGCCCGTCTAGGACAGGCCTGCCCAACTGTTCTGTACAGCCCAGTACTGATATCACTAAGTATTCCTGTCTCCAGGCCATGGTGGTGCTCTCCATCCACAGAGGGAATATGTGAGAGAAATGTGTCATGGTCAGATCTCCAGAGACCTAAACACCAGTGAGCCACCTTCCCTGATGGTATCCCTTCAGCATTCATGCAATTTCCAGAACTTCCAGCAGGGGGCAACCTAAGCCACTCAAACCCAACCCTGGAACTGCACAAACGCAAACCTTTGCCTTCAGATGGCAGTTTGAGCTGGAATTGAGATACAGACCACTGGCCCTGAGTGGTATGTGGAGCCCCTAAGACCCCAAAAATGTCAAGAGTAGGAAATGGAGTACAACCCACTATGGATTGTTTTCATAACCTCACCTGCACCTTCATTGCTATGACTCTCACTGTGGTCATGTCTTTGACACACACCCCACACGAGCATCATCATCCTTTTCAGCAGGCAGAGACAGGGTAGGGATTGGCACTGTTGCCAACAGTGACCACAGTGAGCTCAGGTAATTGTGATGGCCATGCACACCTCTGGGTGCACAAACATGGGTGGGTGAATGGCAAGTGAGAAGTGACGTCCAAGGATGCTCAGAACAGGGCGTGCAGAGTCCAGCACAAACCCTAGCTACAGACCACAAACAACAACAAAACAAAACAACACCAATGGTTTGGTGAGATTTGGCAACAAAATATGAGCTAGCCTTGACCCAGGCCGTGGCTAACGTGAACTGTGTGCATCTTTGCAAAAGTTCTACAATGGAAGGCTTCTGAGCCATGTCACAGCATCTCCAGCAAGTTGCATGGAATATCACCATCACTACACTGCACAGTCTGCAGTGGCCTGTCTTCCACACCCAAAAGGCTTCCTGTGAGTTGACTGGCCGTGGTCTCCTCCTCTCCCCTGGCTATTAAAAAATAAACTTGGAGGGCCTATGGGTGCAAGTAGAGAAGGCCCTGAGGTTCCAGCACCTTGCCTACGCAGGCAGCATGTTCATGTAGCTCAGGTCTGGGATCCCGGAGGGCTCATCTATGCTCAGACTTAGCACTGTCCTCATGGAGTGATCAAGCATCCTTAGCCAGCTCCCTAATGTCCCTGTCCCTGCCCACTCAGCAAAAGCCACAAGGAGTACCCCAGCCTCTCACACCCTCTGCATGAAGGGAGAGACTCAGAATTCTGAGTGGAGACTGCCGGAGTCAACGTTCTGTCAAGATGCAGCGTGTGTCCAAGGGCAGCTCTCTCCTCTGCAGGCCCTCCCTCTGGAGAGCTATTTGTGCTAATAGATACCCAGAACTCATGACTGTCCAGAATTCTATCACCTCCCGCTGGAGTGACTCATCACAGAAATTGCTGTCTACTTCCGGCTATGGCATTGGAAGCTGGCCAGGGAAGGCTCTACTCCATCAGCACCCTGGGTCTTGCTCCAGCAGGCCCCTCTTCAGCAGGATCCATGTTCATTTCAATCATTTCAAGGGGAGTCCTGTACTGAGTGCTGCCTTGGCCCGGAACTCTTGTGGGGACAGGGACCTTTCCATGGGCCTCTTTCGGTTCCCTTTGTTCTTCCTCCAGCTCCAGTGTCCCTGACACCGGGCAAGCAGGGTCCGATCTTATATACAAGGAGGAACAAGACTCATGGTGATTAGAGGATGCTGCTGGTATCTTACAGGTCCGGAGGGGTTGTGCCTGGAACTTGGCTCTCCTGGCACCATTGGCTCCCCCAATGGTTGTCGTTCCCGAGGGCACCAACACCATCCTCAGTTGCTGATACCACAAGGCTCCTGCGGTTGTGGCTGAGACCACCACAAGCTGGCTGGGCCTCTAGAAAGATCTTCCTGGGCCCTTCTTGTGTGACTTGGCTGATCTAGCCTCTCAGTACCAGTGCCATCCATTTTAGCGACCTGTCACAGGTGAACCTGAGACATTGGGAGTAACGGTTACTGGGCTCTTTGGGTGACCCATCAACTGCCTCACAACCTCATGGACATTCAGAAAGCCACGAGGAGCTGGCTCTGTCATCCTCCCCCTGCCACCATTAGTACTCCCTGGCCTTAGGGGAATATGTGGGACTTGAGGTGATGGTGGTCACTGTGATGGCTGGAACACCTTGGGGGCAAAGATAGTGGTGTAAGTTTGATCTATAGACATAGAACTGGAGATTTTCCTGGGGATGAGGGTGGTGGGGATGAGGATGCTGCTGCTGCTGGTGATAGTAAGGTTAACAATAATAGTAATGGTGATGGTGATGTCACGAAGATAGTGGCAATGATGTTGGCGAGGTGATAGCTGTAGTTATGGTGAGGATGGTGATGGTATTGATGAGGATAGTGATAGAAATGATGATGGTGAAGCTGGTGATCGTGGTGCTGCTGCTGGTGGTGGTGATGAAAATGGTGGAGAGAGAATGACGGTGGTGATGAAGATGATGATAACAGCAAGACTAATAGCAATGGTCATGAAACATCAACTGATCGCCATGATGGTAGCAGCAACGATGCCAGTGAGATAGGGGTAGCGGCGACGCTGGTTGCGGTGATGGTCACGGTTGTGGCTGTGGTGTTCGTCCCGGTGGTGCTGAAGACAGTCGCTCCTGTAATCTCTGCGGAGGACAATTGTGCTGATGAGATCAGGACCCGGGATCTTACAGTTCATTGTTCCTAGCTCCTACGGACTGGAGAATGTGAAGGAGGGGTGTGTGAAAGGAAGGACACACGAGGACAGCAAGTCTCTGCGTCAGCTGGGTGTGCAGCCAGTAGGAGCAGCTGCCAGCAGGTACTGAGCTCCTATCAACACCCACGCCCCCTCCATCCAGAGGAGGCCCCTCCTTCCCTGTCTGTGACGGAAGTGAGCCCTGCTGGAAGGGGCCTGGGTGGTGCTTATTGCTTTGCCTCTGCAACGACCTCTCTTCCGCTTCCTGGGCCCATTTTGGCAGAGACTTCACATCTAACCTACTTCCCTTGTGCTCTGTCGTGTGAGCGTCCCTGTTACCTTGGAAAACTCTTTGGTGCCCAACCATCCCCCATTCTCCTCCCCAGGCTGGCCCCAGGTGGGAACAAATGTACAAGGTGATACTACTGGTTCTAGGACTTGTTCCAGAATCTTCTACTACATAGAATGTCCCTTCTTTACTCTACCCTAGGACTTGTTCCAGAATCTTCTACTATATAGAATCTCCCTCCTTTACTCTCCCCTCAGCTCCCTGTTACAGCCCTGGGAAGTGGAAGGCTGTGCTAGGAGGTGAAGGATGAAGAGCCGCCAGCTCCTCACAACTTCCTGAATGCCCATGACTTATGAGGCAGCTGATTGGGTCACCAGAAGAGCCCAGTAACTATCACTCCCATCCAGGCTCAACCACCCCTTGGCTTTCTTCATGGATAGAGGTGTCCAGATAGTACTCTTAGATAGATATAAAGTCCTGTGGTCCTGATTGGCTCTGCCCTCAGATACTTACTAGTGCTTTGGTCCCAAGAAATCAACTCCCTGAGGAGGACTCTAGGACCCTGGAGGCATCTCAGAACTGACCTCTAAGTACCTGCCCATTAAGGGTCCTAGCTGGGGGCTGTGGAGGGCAGCCCTGCTAAGGGTGGCTTCTGCAGCCTCACTGTCTACTCAGGGCTGATCAGGGAAAGGGGTCAAGTCTGCTCTTCACCACGTCGCCCACCCTGCTCTAAGGTTCCCTACTGGGGCCATTAGTCCCTAGGGACTCCCAGGGCCCCAGATTTTTAACTCAAAAGCTTCTTGAGCAGTCGAGAAGCTTCGGGCTCCCCTTTGTCAGGCCCTAAAAATAACCAGGCAGGAGGAACTCTGAGCAGCAAGCAAATGTGCCAGCCAGCACCCCACGCAGCGGAAGCACCTCCAAATAAGGCCTAGGCAGGGAGGAAGCCAGCCTCCAAGCTCATCACCACTGACGTGGATTCCAGAACCTTCCCCTCCCTGCACCTCAGAGTCTCCCCCCAGAGCCTGTGTGACTCAGGGGCCTGGGAGTCTGACTTGTTCGGGGTGTCCAGAGCTCACTAGACAATTCATTACAGTAGTCTGTTCTTGGGTCCCGGAACTTCTATGGTCAGTTTGGGGATCTTAGAAGCTGCTAGCTGGGGTTGTGAACTTAGAGGTATGGATTCTTAGGACAGTCAGTCACGCCTTCCCAATCTCAGTGGTCATTGTGTGGCCTCACTCAAGTACCATGGGGGCCCAGGAGCTTCCCTTCCCCGCTCCTTTGGCCTCACTGGGAAATGAGACCAGATGGGTATAAGGAGGCCGACATGGGATGGGACAGTGACACACAGCTGTCCTCGCGCAGAGGAGGTGTTGCTGGCTTCCTTATGGCTTCCTGGGAACACCATATGGACCTCACTCAAGAATGGGGGAGGCTAGAGGCAGCATCCCCATTAACTTCTTCCTGTCCTCTCTACCCGGGGATCCTGGCAGGAGTGTGGGGCTACAAGCCAGGATTTCTGGGTTCTGAATGACTTCCTTGGCTGAACCTCACTGAGTTCACAGTGAACGTGGGGCTGGGGCCACTCCTCACTGGCTAGCACCAGCATGTACCCCCTCCTGTCCTCCATATCTGTTGGAGCAACCCAGGTCCTGCTGAAGTTCAAGGATTCTCTCAGAATCTCCTCTGCGAGTCCCTCCATAGGGCAAACTCAGCCCCTAGGCCAGAATGGGAGAAAGGGAGGATGGACATGGGCTAGGGTGAGTAGTGGTGAGTGATCCGACCAAAGGGACATGACCCTTTCTTCATATACCAGGCTTTTCCCAATCTGCCTGCATCTGCAACAAGCACCGAGCCCTAGACTTTGCTAAGACCTCCCTCTGGGTGGCCTGGCGTGGCCTGGCCCCACCCCTGGTTCACCCCTGGTCTCTCTAAACTCATCATTTGCCTTATATCATCCTGGTTCTGCTCAGGACATGGGCCTTGAAGCAAGCACACAGGAAGATATGCTCAGAGGAGGTTCCTGACAGCCCAGCAGCTGAAAGTGGCTCCCAGTGGAGAATCTTCCTGTCTGTCCCCTGTGCTGAACCGAATGGAGGGATGGTGAGGGCAGATATTTGTTACAGCTTCCAGCATCCCGAGGGGCAGGACCACTACCATTGTTCCACTTTATTGAAGTGGGCTGCTACTCCTCCCCCTCCCCGTTCCCCAGCGGGTCTCCTGTGCATATGCAAGGGAGCTGGGAAAGCTCACTGGTTTCCTTTCTAGACTGACACCAAAGCAAGAGCTCAGATCTAGTGCTGACGGGGGCGCTGGTCTGGGCCTTTCATGGACTGGCAAATGTGAAGTGTGTCTCTGCCAAGGGTGCTTGACACGGGGTCAGGTAGGAGAACTCAGAGTCACACGCATCCCAGCACTCGGGCTGCCACGCTTCCGGCTTCCGCTGGGTTCAGACCCTTCCCCACCACTCATCCTAGAGTCCCCTCTGGATTGTACACCCAAAGCTGTCCCCACCCCACCCTTCTCCATGCTCCCCTCAACTAAATCCTTCTCGGTGATTAATTATAGCTCTGCGCAGGCTTTGGGGCTTTTTTAAACAGGCGCTTTTAGTGCATTTGATTTCTTTGGGAATCGACCTCAGACACATCACTTTGCAATGCTCATAATAACCTCTGGCTACTCAGAAATGCTGGCATGTCGGGTCCCCCTTGCCATCCCCAACATGGGAATTGTGTTTGCTCTGGGTCACCTTGCTTAGGAAGCTGCTGTGTGCCCCTGCAGGGCCCCTTTGCTAATTCCTGCTTGTGCTTGTCACTTCCTTCTTTGTCTGAGTGCTGCCGTGAAAACCAACCACCGCTCAAGCTGGATTCCTCCCACGTTAATTGTTAGCCTTTCTTAGTGTCTGATGTAAGCATTTTTAGGCCATCAGCTTTTCCCAGCATGCCACTTGCATCCCATCCTACAGGTTCCCATGGCATTATTTGTATCATTCAGTTCTAATTATTTTTCTAATTTTATCAGGATTACTTCCTTGGCTCGGCAAGTTAGCTTGTGCATGTTTTAAGGGCTCTACACTGTAAGATTTTGAAAAACAAACCTAGCAATTTATGACAGGGTCTTTCTTCTTAGGTAGCCCAGGCTAGTCTGGACGTCTCCGTCACCCCGTCTCCCCTCACAAGTGCGAGGATCAGAGGCGTACACCCCTGCTTCTGATCCCTAGTTTAACTACCGTGCTGGTAGACTGTAGCCAGTATGGCAAATGCTATGTTGCATAAGATGTGAGCATTCTCATAAATATTCCATACGCATTTTCTCAGCCTAGAGCAGAGTCACACGCTCATTAAGGCAAGACAATCAGTTGTATGGCTCAAATCTGTGATCTTATAAAATCTGCTTCCTGTCTTTGTTTACACACACATACACACACGCACGCACGCACGCACGCACGCACGCACGCACTCACTTGACTCCTGGGACTTTCTCGGAGATGACAAGTCTTTGGTAAGCTAAAGAGACAGCTGCTAGCTGGGAGCCCTCCACAGCTTGAGAAAGGGGCTGGTCACAGGGAAGCTGAAGGCAGGACTAGCGGGTGGAGATGGCCAGTCCCCCGAAATATCCAGGAAAGGAAAAAGGACTAAAGGCAAAGGTTAAACTGGTCACCAGGGGTCAACCAATTATTTGGAATGGGTGTGTTCTCAGAGTTTTGGAGGTTGTAGTTCAAGACCAAGGTATGGGCGGTTGGCTTTTCCTGAGGCCTCTCTCCTCGGCTTATGGATGACTGTCTTATTCCTGTGACTTTGTGATCTTCCCTCTGCCTCAGTCGGTGATCTATTAACCATGCCTACATAATGACACCTCCATGAAAACCCCAAAGGACAGAGTTAAGGAAGCCACCAAATGGCCAGTCACAGAGTCCCCTAAGTGCTGCACCTAAGGACCTGAGAGCCTGAGATGGGGCATGGGAGCCAAGCACTCAGAAGTCCAAGACTTTCTACAGCCCCGGGGGGCGGGGGGCTGACACTTTGCCCAAGTATGGGATGGAATTGAAATGAAGGGCATCCAGCTATTAAGGACACAGCCTCGCTCCTCTGGTGGCGGAAGTGACTAGTCAGCCAGGAACTCTTTCCTGCTGTTTTTCTCATAACCTTTCGGTATTTTGTTTCTGCTCAACCATTCAGTAACTGCAAAAGACATATGGAAAATTCCCACTGTCATAATGGAAAATTCCCCACAGTCCTGTCAAGTGCTGCTTTGTGTGTTTGGAAGGATGCAGGGTAAGAAGAGCTGGGTCTTCCTGGAACACAGCGGTTCCGGGTCATCCCTCAAGCCTACCCTGTCTGAGACTAACTTGAAGCCCCTCTGTCCTTTGTTGTTTCTCCGGGGTATTCCTCAGGACAGCACACAACCGCACTTAGAATCCATTCGCACAGCTTTGAAATCTTTCCCTACATTTACTGTGCTTACTGGCGTCTTTTGGTTGTCTCCTCCACCTCAGATCCCCAGGTCTTTCCACCTTTTGTGGTAGCTTTTAGAAGTCCCTCTTCTTGATTTTCTGCAATAATTGCATCTCGTACACACTCTCATCTTGTACTGGTGTGGGAAGCACACAGGCTCTTTCTGCTCCGTCTTGGCATCTTCTGTGCCCTATTGGCCAGAAAATCTAAGATGTGTCAAGGGGGTGCCACATCCGATAGCACAAGGATCTCAGAACTTTGCTCTGGTCCCTGTCCTCACCCAGGGGCTCTAACTGCTGTTTCAGTCCTGTGTTTGAGAATTCTGTAAGTGGGGCGCTCTTGTCCTGCTTTTCCAGATGGTGTAAGGTGCTACCTATGTGTGGGCTTCACCTGGGTGCACTGACTGAGGTCCCAGGCTGGTTCGTTTTCTCTCTCTCTCTCTCTCTCTCTCTCTCTCTCTCTCTCTCTCTCTCCCTCTCTCCTTCCTCCCTCCCTCCCTCCCTCTCTCCTTGAGTCTGTCTCTCTGCTGTTAATGACTGATTTAACTACATCTACCCAATGGTACCTTCTGCCACTGGCCACTGAGAAGCCCCAGGCTTTTCAGGCTTTGTGTCCCCACGCCTGCAAGGAGCTGCTCAAATTTAGCTGATGTGTGGTTCCTGTTTAAAGGCTTCTTTGAGATTTTGTGACCATCCCTGGCACAGAAAGAGGTGCAAAGAGTGTGGGGAGCTTCGTGGCCTGTTCCCCAGCTTCCCCCCAGCTTTCCCTCCCACTAGCACCTTGCATAACTAGGGCCCAGTGAGCAGAGCACCGCTCATTTCAATACTGCTCTATAGCTTAATCCATATCTTAAATTTTTCCACTAAGCACATTTTAAAAACCACCCATCTGGTTGTGACGTGTGCATCCGATCTGTTACTTTTTCCTCTTTCCTTTCTCAACATGGGTTATTTTAATTAAAAAAAATCTATAGCCAAGCATATAGCTCAAATTACACAAAACTATACTCAACAGCTTTCTCGGCACATGGAGACCAACATGGCCTTGGGTTCTTGGATTTCACTATTTCATTCAAGTTTAGCAAGGCCGTTTATATATGCACAGAAAAGTGAATGAGCTTTGTCAAGTGTGTACGCATTGGCTCCACTGCTCTGTGAGTTGGGCTTAGGGCAGTGCTCAAGGGGCAGGATGCAGAATAGTATTCCAGACCTCCAATCCTGTTTCTTGTCAAGCCCTCTCCTGACAGCCAGGCCTGGGGTTTTTCTTAATTCAACACTGTGGTTGAAACCAGGCCTCACACATTGTAGGTGAACACCCTAGTACTGAGCCGTACCCCTCTTGCTCTTTCAGCCTTGACTCAGGCTCTCAGAAAGCCCAGGCTGGTCTGGAACAAAAGGTCCTCTGGCCTCAGCCTTCTAGTCTGTGGACTTGTGCGGTTGGCAGCCTTTTCAAGCAGGTGTGTGTACACATGTGCATGTGGGTACACGCACCTCTGCATGTGCGTGTAGAAGCCAGAGGAGAACACTGAGTATCTCTGTTATCATCATCATCATCATCATTTATTTTGTTGATACCTTCAGGATTTAAACTCAACTCCCCCTTGCTCTTACCCACTGCACCATCTCTAGGCTGGTGTTTTTTCACTTAGGAATCTGCATGTAAAGCTCCTGCCATGGCTTAGCTTGCTGCTTGTTTTAGCAAACAATGGCTCATTGTTTGAACACACTATAGTTAATCCAGTCTATGAGTGAAGTCGCTGTTAGTTTCCAGCTCCTTTCAGTAAATGCCTTGGACTGCAATGTCAGGACCAGAAGGTCAAAGCTGTATCTTGTCTTCCTCTGTGGCCATTTCACCTGCCTGCCCTCATCAGCACTGGCAGATGTCATGCTCTGCCTTGTGTTTTAGTGGTTTTCAGCCATCTTACTACACACGTGGTGCCCATTGCCGCCGTGACTTGCTGTTTCCTCCACTGTTTATGAGCCCAGGGCCAACCTCTTCATTCTAAAAGCAATTGTCTTTTGTAGAGCAGACCATCTGTGAAGAGCTTGAACATTTGGGGCAGTGGGTACTGAATGTACTGACCTAAGGACTCATTGCTAAATTCAAGGTCATTCTGCTTTTGGTGTGTGTGTGTGTGTGTGTGTGTTTCCTACTGTTTTCTAGGAGGTTTCAGTTTTGTACACTCCAATGTCCATTCTGGTGGTTTTGGTTTTAAAACAGCATCTAATTATTTAGTCTAGGTTGGCCTGGAACACAGCATGTAGCCCAGGCTGGCCTTAGGCTCAAGGCACGCCTCCCAGCTCAGTTGCCCTATTGCTAGAATTGCAAGTGTTAGCCACAACCCCTACACAGCCAATCTGATAACTTTATTTTTAAATTAAAAAAATGAAACTTTGCTATTAGTTTATGGTATGGATGCTTTGTTTGCACGTATGTGTATGTACTGAGTGTGTGCAGGGCTTGCAAAGTTCAGAAGGGGGTGTTGGATCCCCTAGAACTAAAGTTACAGATGATCCTGAGACACCGTGTGGGTGTTTGATCATTTTCGTGTGAGAAGGGAGATGAGAGCATCCTAGCCACACTGTTTTGCCTTTGCCGCTTTGTCCAGGCTCAGGCGACTATGCACAAGGCTCCTCCAGGGCTCCAGTTGGCTCTGTCCATTCGTTTGTCTCCTATCAACTCTGCTGCCTTCAGCTTTGCTTATTTCTGTTCTGTTTCTTTGATCCTTCTGTTTCCTCTCTGCTTTGTCTATTTGATTCTTTTCTCTCTCTCCTGTTTGATTCCCAGCCCCCCCCCTTTCTGTCTTGTTTCTCTGTTTGGTTCTTGTTTTCTGTCTTGTTTTCCTGCTTCATTCTTGTCCTCTGTCCCTCTTGCTGCTGATTCTCCCATCTTCTGCTGCTCTGTTGTGACGTTGCCACTGTCCGCTCACTGCATTGCTTCTCAGAGCATGGCAACAGTGGTCGCTCAAAGTCTTTGGAAAGTCACCCTCAGGACCCCGTCCTGCCTGTGTCCGTTGTGTGTTCTTTCTTCTGCAGCCATTGAGGTTTTTCAGATTCTTTACAGAGCATTTAATTTTGGATCCCAAAACTGGCTTTTCAAATGGGGGCTTTAGATTCTTGGTTCTATGAGGCATCTGTGCGCCTGGCCCTCTCCAAGGTCAGGCACCAAGGGAACAAGGAGAAAACAGAAAAGCAAGAGCATCCTGTGCCCTCTCAGTCCCCGCTCCTGCCTCTGAGGTCTGTCTCTTCGGTGCTCACTTAAGATTTCCCAAGACTGGAGCCTCAGACAGAAGCACACAGAAGGCAGAGCTGTTCTCCAACTGTCCCCTGAAGTGTACCACCACCTCGCCCACACCAGGCATCAGCTGACTGTCTGCCTTGCCAAAGAAGCCTGGAAGGATCTGGAACCTTGCTCCAGGCACATCTCCCCTCGTTCTTCCCAAACTTCTGCTTCTTTGCCTGTATTCATAGGCCCCGAGTCTTCCATCCCAGACTGAGAACTGCACGCTGTGCTCTTCACCCATTTCTCTGTGGAGCTGCTGCTTGTCCTGACGTGTCCGTATGGTCTGCAGCCCGCCTGTATTAGTGACTTCTCTCCTTGCCGTGACAGAAACATGACAGAAGTAGCTTGAGGAAGGAAGGGATTAGTGTGTCTCACAGTCCAAGGGACACAGTTCACCGTGGCTGGAAAGGCAGGGTGGCGGGAGTGTGATGCAGCTAGCCAATCACATTGTAGCCACAGCCAGCAAGCAGAGCGACAAATCCTGGCACTCCGTGTGCAGTCTCCTTTCTACTCGGTCTGGAACTCCAGGCCACACGACGGTGCCACCGCTGATCAGGGTGGGGCTTCCCTCCTCCATTGAACTTTTCTGGATTCATCCTCATAGACACACCCAGATGTGTGTTTCCATGGTGATTCCAAGTCAAGTCGGCTATAGAAAACCATCGAAGCATCACAGTTATTGCTAATGTCTCTTCACTTCATCCATGTATGTCAGTAAACACATGCCTAGTTGTGGTGATGCTTCCCAGGATGTTGAGTTGCTATGAGCTGCCTTTTTTTTGTCTGTTTTGCCATAGCTTTTCATTTTGATTTAATTTTAATGAAGTCTGTTGAATATATACCCAAAAGGCAATCATACCACAAGAACATGTGCTCCTATGTTCATAGCAACATTATTTGTAAAAGGCCAGAACCTGGAAACAACCTAGATGCCCCTCAACTGAAGAATGGATAAAGAAAATGTAGCACATTTACATGGTGGAGTATTACATAGCGGTAAAAAAAATTAATGACATCATGAAATTTGCAGGCAAATGGATGGATCTAGAAAAAAAAATTGAGGTAACCCAGATCCAAAAACACAAATATAATATGCATTATAAAAGCCACTCATAAGTGGCTTTTAGACATAAAGCAAAGAAAAACCAGCCTACAGGCCTCAGTCCCAGAGAAACTAGAGAATCACGAGGACCCTAAGAGAGACGTATGTGGACCTACATGGGAAATAGAAAAAGACAAGATCTCCTATGTAAATTGGGAGCGTGGGAATCACAGGAGAGGGTAGAAGGGGAGAGAGGAGAAAGGGAGAGGAATTTTAATTCAATAATTAAAAGAGATTATGGATTCGTGTGTTTCTTCTGTTTTGGAGAATTTCTCAGAATTTCATCTCATTCTCTTTAGCCCTTCCTTCTGTGCTAATTTTTGTCCTATTCTAGTACTCCATGCATGGGAGTTTTGTCTGCTATCCTATTCAGTGTGGTATCTAAAGTTCCTGGTGCTAAAATCTGTGGAAACCTCTCTTTTGTCGTCCATAGCGAGACTTCTGACCTCTTGTCTCTAAGCATCCAACAGGGGTCCATTTGTGGTTTAACACAGTTGTCTGTGTGAAGAGGGCTTATGGTGGGAGCACCTCACCGGAGTGAGGCTCTGATCCTGCTCTTGGCATGGGTGGTGGTGGACACTATTGTCCTGTGAACCCTTTGGAGTCCTGCCCTAGTGTGGCCTGGGTTCAGCTCCCTTCCCTGTAGGAGCCAGGGCCTGTCTTCTAACCCCATGCCCATGTTCTCATCAGTCCCCAGTGCTTTCCCTCATCACTTTTATGTGAGCTCACTGTTTGGAGGTCTTAACTGTTTTTAAGCCTTTAGAATTGTCTGGTGACACACAAAACTAATTATTTTAATGTGCCCAAGATGGAGGCATATTGGTTTTAGTGGGAGCATCTATCACACACACTGTAAGAGCTGGGGACCCTCCATCACACACCCCTAGTACTCTGGAGGGACATGCCCTCCCACTTCCTCAGCCCAGCCTCTCCTGGGCATCCCGGACAGTGGACCACCTTTCTCATGCTGTCTCTGCTCTCAGCTCTCATGACCCACCCAGCCTCCAGCTTATTTTTCTTGCTCTGGCTACTTATTCTGAGTGTTGTCTGTGGGGCCATGCTGCTCCAGCCACACCGAGATCTGTACTTTTGATGTCCCTGTTGTGGATAGAGCTGTGACCCTGGACTTTACCTGCTAACAAGTTTAGGGGCTGGCTGGACTTTCTCTGAGTTTAGGACTGACTTGGAAGTTCTGGTCCTAGAGGGCATCCAGAACCTCTTCAGCTCCTTCCTGCTTCTGATTCCTCCTCAATCCTGCTGCTTCCCCTTTGGGGATATGGCTGGCAGGTGGGAGTGTTCAGTAATTTCTGGGTATCTGATGTGACCCAGCACCTCCACCCTGAACAGGCACAGTACATCTGAGCATCTCTTAGGAGTCTATGTGCCTCCTATGCAGCCACATCTGAGGCACTGGCCGTATTTACGTTTGTTTTCCAATCATGGTCTGGTGGCTATGATCCAAGGACACCCTGAGTCTACCCCGGTAGCCTCCATGGTATCCTAATGCCACTGTGGTAGGCAAAGGTACTGTGCATGACTGAAGGGGCTGAATGGGCTTGGGGAAGGTGTCTTTGCTGGAGAGAATGGGTAGCTGCCGGAGAACCACGCAACAGCAGAGAAGCTGCCCAGCTGATTGTGAGAATGGTGTCCCCAGAAAGCTGGAAGTCCCACCAAGTCCTGGGTGTCAGCTAAGCAAAGGTTCTGGGCAAGTAGGAGAGGTTCTGTGGCCACAGGAGAGAGGCAGGCGATTAAGCAGGTTCGTGGAAACCTGAGGAGGGATGTGGACAGGCAGATGAATTGGGTAGGCAATGGGCCAAGTGGGCATGTGGGACAGCCTGGGCCTGGCTGAGGACAAACTAGGAGAAGAAACCTGGAGAAGAGGCTGCTGAGGAGGCTCCTGGGGTCTCCGGGTCTTGCTTGAATATAGCAACACCTATTCTGAAGATTCCAGCTCTTGCTTCCTAGGGGAGCACTATGGGAACTTCTGGAGTTCTGAGTCATGCACCCTTCCCACCCCCACAGTCTATGGAGTTGAGATTAAAAGGGAGAGTTGGCCTGACCTGTTGCACACATGTCTGGGAGGAAGCCAGAGATACTCTGTGGCATTTAATAAAGATAGGACTCAACAGAGACAAAAATAAGGACAAAGCAGCCTCAGCTTCTCACGTACTGGGACAGCTCTATGACATCATCCCAATAGTTCAGGTAGAACTTTCTGGTCCTGGAGTCTGTGTCATGGCTGAGGGCCTCCAAATCTGCAGGAGAGACCACAGGTCCAATCAGGAGCTTGCTGTGGAACTGAGCAGCCCAGTGGACCCACAGTCTGAATGGGGAAAGTGAGATCCCCCCAGGGGCATCTCCCACCAGAAAGTTCCCTCAGGTGTCGGGGAAGGCAGGCCTCAGCCACCCAAGGATGCAAAGGCTCCACTTGCTCACAGTGTTTCAGGATGATCACATCGTCCTTTGTCAAGTAGAAGCAGAGTTCATTGAAGTAGTCCTGAAGTAATGCCCCTGGGACAGTCAAGGTAGTGGTTAGCAATGGCCGCCCTTGCCCACTGACAGCGCTGGCCAACAGGAACGTCCCACCCCTTCACTGTCATAGAGCTACTGCTCCTGCGGTTGACCCAGGACGTGTGAACCTGACCACCGACTGTGGTAGTGCAGGCCATGGGACACGAGGCAGGGTTTGCGGCTGCTGAGTCCGCACGTACCGATGAACTTCATGGCTGCTAGCTTCAGGTTTTTGTGGGGGCTGTCCAGATACATCAAGGCCTGTCTGAGAAACTGCTGGTAGCTGCCAAAATTGCTTTCTATCTGAAGAGAGAAGAGAGGGCCTGTGACCAGATTGAGGGTCTGTGTGGTACCTCACTTCAGGGACATGGCTTTCCTGAGGTACCCCCAAGCACTGAACTCCACTTCCAATGCTTAGGGCCTGGAAGAGAGGAGGTGGGCACCAGAGACTCCCATGGGGGATCTAGAGGGGTGGTGGTTAGTGATGGCCCAGTTCCTTCATTTGGTCCAATGAGGGGAGCCCATGCCGAGTTTGGGAGCTCCCATATTTGCGACCGTTGCCAGCATCACTCTGGAGACCACTCAGCTTGCCTCTGCCTATCCCTGACTAGTTGTCGTCTCCTCAGCCACAAGCCACCACGGTCCCCTGCAAGGCCCATGTCATGAAGAGGGGGAGGCAGGCTCATCCTTGGCAGCTTCGGTCCCCCTGCTACTTCTCTGCTTTCCTGGGTTTTCTCTGGGCACTTACCTTGCAGCGTGGCCATCAAGCCTTGCAGACATGACACAAGTGTCCGCATTATACACAGGCTCTGCCGCTTCGTGTCCTTCAAAGGCCTCTCCTTTTCTAAGTGCCCAGTTCCCTGTCCTCTCTGCCGTGCTTTTACTCTTTAAACTTTGGGTCCTGGTGGCACCTGGTACTTAAAGTCAGGACCACGGTGAAAGAGCTGGAGGCAGCAGTCCGGGCTCTCCCTCCAGGGCCATGCTTCTATTGTCACTGCTATCAAGGGGCATGTGGTGCCATTGCATGCGATGGGTAGGCAGGCCAGGAGCTCAGTGGCCCCACCCTGTCCAAAGGCCACTTTGAGATCTTTGCAGCCATACTTCTAGGCCTTTCCTTTGTGGCTGAACCAGATCCAGTGAGGCCTGTAGATTGAAGACAAGCCTGTCCTGTCTTGTGCGTGTGACTTCGGTCCTGTTTAAGAGGCTGGGATTGTGGCCTTGACAGCCCAGACCCAGGAAGGCAGAAGAACCTGGGGCCAGAGATTAAAGTGGTTGCTAGGTGGCAGGAGGTGGCATTTACTACTGGGGTCTCACATATGGGGCCTGCAATGTCCGGACTTTGAGGCTCAGCTGCGTCTACCTTAAACCTGTACTGGAACATCATGGGGCACTCTGTCCTCAGAGGCCCCCCTATGAAGGCCTTGGGCATACTCTAGATGCATCATGGAGACTTTGCCAACCTTCCTGAACAGCTCACTTCAGAGAACCCAAGCTCCATTATAAAGGGGAAATGCTCCCCCACAGAACCTCAGTACTTAAACACCGTTAGGACTGCCTCTCCCATCCCCATATTCAGAGTAGTCTGGGGGTGACTAAAGAGCCATCATTCTACGACTCCAAGCTCTCCCCTGGAAAGGGGTTCACACCTTACCATGTAGACAAAAATGTCATTCTCAGCACCCGGCCCTTGGCCCCATGCCAGCTTGCCAAACAGCTCCTTCTGGAACTCCCATTTTAACAAGATGGCGCAGCGCAGGAAGGTGTACTTGGCCTTCTGTAAGTGGAGAATAGACTGCCTCTGCTTCCACCCATCATCATCCCCTTCATCCCAGACAGACCCCGAGACGAGGTTTCTATAGCAGCACCATCACTGAGCTCCTAGGGTCCTGGGCACTAGTCAGTCCTGGCACAGTGGGTGGCAGCACTAGAAGGGAGTGCATCACCACAGGATGGGATTACCCACTCCCAAAGCCCAGGGTGCCCTGCTCTGACTCTCACAGAGCTTCCAGAAAGGCTGCCCAGGCTTCCTTCTGAAGAACCAGCTTGGAATACCAGTCTCAGAGGGGTGGGGGCTTATTCTAAGTTTAGGAAGGGACTTGACTTCCCACAGTGAATACTGGCCTGGGCCAGGTTTGTTAAACATGAGGCCTTACTCTCAGAAGCATGGGGCAGCAAAGGCCAAGCTTGATCTGTGAATGTAGATACAAAACTAGGCAAACTCCTTAGCGAAGCAAAGCTAGACCTACAACACCCAAGGCCCTCATGGCATGGCTAAGTGTTTCAGGGTCACCCCCAGGGAGATGGGGTGGCCCTGAAACACAAGGTTCCTCTGGAGGGGGGGTCATGGCATTAGGCAGGCAGGGTACAAGTAGGCGCTCCAGTGCAAACATGGGCACAGCATGGGCTGGAAAGAAGGTAGAAGTTGCAAGATCCCGAATGCCAGATTCTTGCAGCTGATTTTAGATGGTAGAGTGGAGGTCTACAGCCAAAAGAGGTTGCACAAGGGCCTGGAGTGATGGATGGATGGATGGATGGATGGATGATGGATGGATGGATGGGTGGATAGATGAATGGGTGGATGGATGGATGGATGGACAGACAGACGGATGGATGGGTAGATAGATGGATGGATGAATGGATGATGGATGGATGGATGGATGGATGGATGGATGGATGGATGGATGGATGGGAGTGAGGAATCTGAAGCAGGTGGCTGAGGAAATACTGCCAGGATAGAGCCCACTCCTTTTCTCTGGCTGCCGGGTTGCCCTACAAACTCAAACCCAACCCGCTCTGTTGCCCAGGTTGACTCTCCAAAACACTAGCCTCACTCTGGTCTCCACTCAGAGAGCTGAGTCCACCATCTGGGTCCTCCTTTGGCCTTGCTCTCCTGACTGCCTCTGCTGAGCTAGATCACACTCACCACAGCCACTTCTGGGCAGGGGTCAGCCATATGGAAGAGCAGGGGCACTACAGCCTGGAAAGCCAGGATCTTGAGGCTCTGTCGAAACTTCTTGCCACCATAGTGGATGACATCTCCGAACAGGAAGATGGCATATTCTCGTACCTTTGCTCTTTCCTGGGGGAGATGGAACTCTCAGGCATATGACAAGTCAGTCTTCTCTCATGACTTCTAGTTGTCTCACTTTGGCCCTGATTAGCTCAAGGACAGCCTACATTGTCCCTAACCCCACAGGCCAGTGTCCCCTTCGTCCCTGACTCCTGTCAACTTCTCTCCCTTGGTGTGGTGGTTTGAAAGAAAATGTCTCCCAAAGGAAGTAGCACTATTAGGAGGAATGGCGTTGTTGGAGGAAGTGTGTCTTTGTGGAGGCAGGATTTGCAGCCTCAAGGTTCTCTCAGTGTGACAGTCATATGGCCTTCTCATGTCCCCCATTTCCTCAGGTCCACTCACGATCCCCTCCCAGCCTTCTCTGATTTACTCCTTCTTCCTGATTTCTCACCTCTGGGTTTCTCTGCATGTCCCTGGGGTGACAGCGATCATACCTCCACTTCTAGGCAGACCTGACTATGGAATCTGTGACATTCTAGCTCCGTGACCCTGGGCAAGGTTCCTTCCCTGCACTGTTTCACCTTTGGTAAACAGTAACTGGCAACAGTGCCATTGTCCTTGGGTTGAGGTGGATGCAGAACCCAACACCTAAGGGAATGTCTGCCAATGCCAGCATTGCTCCTTCTACAAACCCCATCATGACTCAGCCTCTTGTCCATGAAAGGCAGAGACATCTTCAGCCCCAAACTGCCTCCACTGCCACCTCCTTGATTTCAGATGTACAGTAGTCACTGCCTGCCTACCCTACCCCAACTGGGGCTTATCCTAGCTCTCATCTTCCTGGTTCTAATCTATCACAGGGCACATCGTGGTGGTCTTCCTGGGACTGACCATGCCAAGTGCAAGCCTTCCTCATTCCCAATCTCAACCCCCTGAAGTCACTTGACCCTATTCTACAATATGAGGAACTCGTGTTGTTTTCAAATGGAATCACTGATTCTGATGGCCTGAGAACAAGACTCAGCGCTGACACAAACTTCAACCAGCCCCAGTCTACAGAATCTGTATTCTTAGGTGGGCTCTGGGGATGGTGCAGAAACTGGATGCTGAGTGGTACTGGTTTCTGATTGCTGTCTGCAGCCCTGCGCTGCCCTGTTCTGCCACCCCACTCCCCCCACTTCCCAGCTCACATCTGTGAACAGTCTGAGAAGGTGCTGAGCAATCTTGAAGCTGGCAATTCCGATGCCATGGACACCCAGAAGGTATAGGAGGTGGCCCATGATCTCCATCATGCCCAAAATGTCCTTGAACTCAGGCTGCAGGAAGCTGTCCAAAAGCTCCGTCAACTTACTTCTTAGCAGAGTTACCTGCAGGGAGACCACCACCCTCCAGTGGGACCTTTGACCAGTTTCTGCCAGATGCCCCATTGAGGCAGCCAGTCATAGCTCTGGGCAGGAATTGGGGCTCCTGGCCTTCCCACGAGGTTAGGTATCTGTCCATCTCTGAGTCAGTACAGATGTAGAGGAGGTCTGAGCGCTGAAGCTGGCTGTTCCCAGGTCCACTCCCTATTTCCCCTCAGTTTGGACAGAAAAACAGACAAAACCGCACCATTTAACTGGCATAGGCCAGCTCTGCAGCCGCATCCCAGCCTTGTCATGAGAGACATGTCAGAACAGCCCTGCTCTGGGAGGCTCACAAGGGTAGAGTGTTGGGCACCTGACAGGAGGTTATCATACGAGGGACTCCTAGCTAGCAGGAGATAAAGAGCCAGTTAGGAGCCCCATCTGAAACAATTTAGCAGGGCCAACCAAGCTTGATCAGCTCTCTCTATCACCCCTTGCAAAGAAGATAACTATCAACACTTCCTCTGTCCCCAGTCCTCTCTATAATCTTCTGGAATGACGGAGGGCACCTCTGTCAAACTCCTGCCCCTCACCTTGTAAGGATGCATCAGAGTGCTGCCTAGCCCCTTCAGGCTCAGAGCTCGCACTGTTTGGTTGCGACTGGAAAGGCCCAGGTTCAGGGAGTGGTCCATGACCTTCCGAGACACGTTCTGACAGACATCTGGGCTGTTGAGAAACTGGGCAGGGGTCGGCACCATCAGCCCACCTGTTAACCACAACTGCCAAGGAATCAGTCAACCCCACACCATGATAAAGAGTTAGACCCCCAACAGCAAGCACACCTGAATCATGAGACAGATGCATACATTTGTATCAGAGATCTGGAAGGGGCATTCACTGAGGTGGCTGGGGAAAGGCTGACCTCGGTGATGATGCAGATGGCCACGATGTTGTCACGCTCCTCAGTGCTCTTCAGGGAGATGAGAGCCTGCCCCAAGACAGCCTTGACCTCGCAGTTATAGTGAGCCATGGCCCTGTCACACGCAAGAGGAACACACACAGTCCCAGAGGGTTCCATTCTCCAGTCAGACCTCAGAGCTGGCCGAACTGCTGAGTCTGGAGTACAGGGTCCAGAGGAGGGAGGATGGGCTGCGCTGGTGACCACTCTAGCCGCTCCCAGGAAAAGGGTGCCCAAGTTGGTGGGCTCACCTGGCCAAAAGGGTCACTCCCTTTGGGAAGGTTTCCAACTGCCCAAAAAGCTCCCAGCCCTGGATCAGCTTGACATCGGCAAACACTTCCCAGTACTTGTTGGTCCAAAAGAGGCCCTTGAGGGCTTCCAGGCAGGTCCTGGGCAGGGAGGAACAAGACAGTGCCTGAACCCTGTCAGCTACATCTACCTGGCTCCCTTTGCTCAGGAGTCTCCCTCCTGGCCAGGTTGGGTACTCTGCCCCACCCCTACCCTACCTCCACCCAAAATCCTTTCCTGCTTGGGTTCCCCAGAATCAGCATAGCTCAGTGGGTTCAAGGAGGGGACAACAGCCATCTTGGCTTACCTGCAGGGCCCGAGGGGCTTAGAGGCTAGATTGTCTTCCTGGTAGTCAAAGACACCCTCCACCAGGCCCACCTCCAGCAGGTAGTAGAGTTCTGTGAGGAGGCCCAGAAGGATCCCTGCGAAAGCCCAGCGGATCGTGTCCCTGTACTCCGGGGTGTAGAGAAGCTCATAAATGGTGCCCAGTGCCTGCAGTGGGTGACAGCAAAGCCCGGAGGGGGACCCCTGAGTGGAAGAGTGGGGACAGCACTCTAGTCCAGGCCTCACTGCCTTCATCTGGCCCCCTGGGGCTCACCATGGAGCTCCTGTGGATAAATCCCTGAAGGTCCTTGTGGTAGTCCTGAGACTGAACCAGGCCCCATTTCAGTCTCTGTGACTGGGCCCTGACCTCCTGGCTGTGTTGAGACCCCAAGAATGTCTGACTTCCACACTGCTGACTATGCTTTTCTTGACTTGGCTCCACTTTCTAGTGAGCCAGATCTCTCCCAGTGCCCATCCTGCTGGGAGATCCTTCTCAGACCCTCCTTACTCTTGGACTCTCCTATCCTGTTGTCTTTTTGTCCCTAACCCTGAGTTTCTGGTGGCAGACCCCTTCCAACCCTATTTCTTTTGGGTTAGGCTGTGGTGTTTGGGGGGGGGGGCTTTGGGGTTGGACATAGAGTTCCCAGACTCTTTCCCTAAACCATCTCTTAGCCAGTCCTATGGTAGCATGTCCACTACCCCACTTAGTCTTCCCCTGAACTGAAAGATCTCTTCAGGGGCCAGAGATGAAGTGGGTCACTCACAAAGCCTGGGGGGAGTTCAGGTGCTAGCCTCAGCTCCCAATCAGTGCCGGCAATCTTCACCTCCCACCCTGGTCATGCTCTCTGCTCAGGGATCCCTCTGCCTTCCCTGGATCCTCCTCTTCCATCTCGCTACTCTATTCTTGCTCTCACGGCCAACCATGGCCCAGTGCATGGTCACTGTGTCTCTGGGTCTTGCTAAGATAACCAAGACTTTCTCTCTTGCTTCCCAATGTGTCTAGGAACCACTTGCTGAGAGCTCATGGGAGTTTTAGTTCTGTTATGGTCTATGACGGGGCATCCCCATGGAGAAACAAGTACTGATAGTAGCAGGGGTCTGCAGCCAGACGGCTGGTCCATCAGTGGGTACCCCAGACATTTAGCAGGGCCATGCGTGCAAGGTGGGAGGTTCATGAGCAGGTGCAATGCATTGCCTACCTTCTCAAATGATCACAAACCATGATAAAGGCTCAAGGGTGGGGCTCTTGAAGGAAGTCCAGTGTCCTTGTGGGATCCCACTGAGACCCTGGATATCACTACTGTCCCTGAGGTGGTGATATGCTGGTGGCAAAGCAAAGGGTTCTGCTCACCATCAGGGAGACCAGACGGGCCTGATATGTGGAGTGGAGGAGCCTCCTGGGTGGCCGCAGTTTCAACTTTACATAGAGCAGGGTTATAACATCACGAGCTAAGCGGTAGTTGGTAGCCAGAGCCTTCCACAGCAGTAGGATCCACCTGCTGAGACAGAGTCTAGGCCACCTCTGGGAACAGCACCGCAGAGAGGCCTCCCACAAGTGCTGACCATTAGCAGGATGTGAGAAAGCGAGCCCCTTAGGAGCAGCAGGTGAGGGACCCCGAGATCCGCATTCTGTGATGCTTCGTTAGACATCTGCATGAGCCCCAGTCTTGCAGCCCCTCTCTCTGGGACCCCGGAGCAAATGGCTGCTCTCCAGTCTGTCTCTTCTCTTGGGAAGTAGGGACAAGCCCCTCAGAAGGTTTGAAGAGACGAGGGGAGCAGCAGAGCCAGGAAATCACTTCAGGCATAGCTCATGAGTCCCCAGTTGCACTTGGCTCCGTTAAGGGCTGTGTGCTCTGAGATTGATCGGCCACTGTACCTGCCACCTCCCACATTGCCAACTATATACATATATTCATGAGGTGCTTAGTACATGGCTGGCCACCTAAAGACTGATGAGCTTACAAGTCCTGACAGGCTTATGGCTATGCTGCTGCCGCTAGCCCACAGCCATGTTCCGAATTAGTAAGGCTTTGTTATCAACAGACTGCCACTTGGAAGACCCAGTGGTATCCGGTGTGGGTCACTGGGCACCCGTGGATGAGTGGAGTGGTGTAACTGTATTTTCACAGCCTCTGACTGGTCTGTGGCTCTGCTTCTAGATTGACCTCTGGTGACTGTGAATCTGAAATGGTGTCTATGCCGATGGCCCTCCTGGGATAGCTGGAGCCCTGTTTAATCCCCAGACACTTTCAGAACCCCTGTGGCCAGAGTCCAGAGTCAGGAAGAAGACAGAACTGTTGAGAGCCTTTCTCTGCCTAGTGTGTTCAGTAAATAATTGTGAACTGGGCTGTAGGACCACCACAGGCCTGGGTGATGTCCACATTGGGGTGCCCTGGGCCAAGGAAAGACCTACCTATCTGAGGGTTGACACAGGGACAAGACCACCTCCACCACCTCCTGAATATGCTGGGTCCCCAGAGTCATGGTGACCTTACTTATGGTCTCCTGAATACTTTGAGAGTGGATGTTTGGCAGTTCCTGGAACAGGCCTTGCAAGATCTCAGCCACCTGCAGAGCAGAACGCAGCTTCAGACAAGGCAAGGCCCTCTGAGTTCCCAAGAGGACTTGGCTTTATGGCTCCCAGGCTGCGTTTCTTTCTTAAGGGAGGTAGGGTGAACAAGCCAAGAGGAACACTGCTGTTGACCTGTAAGAGCTCCCAAGTGGACGGAGCCTGGCAGTCCCCAAGGGCAAATCTACAATTTAGTTGGCCAAGCCAAACTGGAGGGCAGTTAAATGTGCCCTCTCCCACAGGCCACCTATGTGGCAGCAGAAGGTGGGCTAGGACTCTTCTGGACAAAGGTAACTGGCCAGGAGTACACTGGGATCCCACTCATAGGCTGCTAGGCTGATAGCTCATTGTCTCTGTGACTACATGTGGATGAATGTATATGGCACATGCTCACATGGGCAGGTACACCCAGTCTCAAGGGAGCCACGCTCACCCTGCCTCACCTGTCCCTTCTTTAAACCGGCTTCCTCACAGATCATCAGTAGAAGCTGGGCAGCAAGGTCGCAGCGGAGGTAGTTCGAGCCGCCCAGGCTGTGCACCAGGGTAAGGATCAGCTGTGTGTGCTGCGCCACTGTCAAGTTCTTGAAGGCCTGTGTGGAGCCAAGGTCAGGAGTGGGGGTGTGGACTCTGGCCAGCACTGGCTCAGGTCAGGCAGTGAGCTAGGCTTTTACGAGAGAGGGAATGAAGGCTGTGTGCACAGTCATGTGAGTGCCATGGACACAGGCTTGCAGGGTCCCAAAGTGTCCATTCAGCCCCTGCCCCAGGCTGCTATGACCTGTACTTCCCCCAAATTGGGATCAAGGCTGGGTGACTGCAAGTGTCGCAGCCATAATACCCAGCTGCCTCTTCTCTGAAGACTTTCCCCAAGGTAGCACACAGCCTTGCAAAGAGTCACTGTACCAAGGTCCTGCTGGGTCTTTTTTTTGTAAAAATCTTTTTTTAAAGATTTATTTATTACATATGTAGTGTTCTGCCTCTATGTCTGCCTGCAGGCCAGAAGAGGGGGCCAGATCTCATGACAGATGGTGTAAGTCACCGTGTGGCTGCTGGAAATCAAATTCAGGACCTTTGGAACAAGAGCCAGTGCCCTTAACAACTGAGCCATCACTCCAGCCCCTCTAATCCCTGCCTTATTTTCTTCTCCTACTTCCCCTGAATGGTGGGACCTGAATTGCCATCTTTTAGGAGGGGCCACTAGGACGATAGACTTGGCCTAATCCATGGCCCAGGAGACACAAGATGCTTCTGACCTAGCCTGCCTCAGAAGCTGGACCCTTACTTGGAAGGTAAGAAAACTGAGGCTCGGGAAGATGGGGTGACCTAACCAGGGCCTCCCAACCAGTTCTGGAGCTTGAAAACAAACCCTGCCTCCTCTTTCCCATCCGATGTAACAGGCAGGCCAAGCTTGAGAAGAATACAGAAAGGGTTAGAGGGAGGGGGTGTCCCTCAAGCTTACCTAGGATGAAGGAGTAGTACTAAGAACAGAGCAGGATTGCTAGGTGCCCTTGTCCCCAGAGGGAGGTACACAAGTGAGAACCTCTGGCCCGTGGGTTCAAAGGCCCTATTCGAGCTGTGGCTGTAAGGTGAGGTACAAAGACAGACAATTTCCTGGAAAGAACAGAAGTTCATCCCATTCTGGTTCTGCCCAACCTGCATGCTTGGCTGCTCAGGTCCCTGGGACCCTTTGGCCCCATCTGCTCAGGACCAGGAATGGAGAGGCCCAGGCCCAGTCTGAGCGACCTCACCTTCACCACGTGGTAGAGCTTCACCTCCCACTCTCTAGTCTCGTTGGTTTCAAAGTGCTTCATCTTGTTCCACTGTGAGAACTCCGCCAGATTCCCTGTGTATGGTTCGGTTCAGGAGGGCTGCTGGGCCCGGAGGCAGACTCTTTTCTCCTCCACCGCTTTCCCAGCTTACAATGAGGCCAAAGGAAAGCCTCCCCAGAGCCACTCAGAGTCTCCCCTTCCCCAACCCTGCTCAGCTCACCTTTCTGCTGGAACACAAGCTGCATGAGGAGGAAGACACAGTGGTGGGAATGCTGTTGTGTGATCTTGTCTTTATCCCGCCACAGCAGAGTCAGGAGGGCTAGCTGGTGGCCCAGCGTGGACGGCACAGCCTCTTTCTGGGGAGAGTGGGACAGTGAGCAAAGCCAGGCCCAACTTCCTTATGTCACTCTGTCCTTCCTTTCCTGCTCTCAGCATCTGTGGGAGACGCACGGGCTGGGCTTTGAGAGGGACTCCTTTCCCACCCATGAGAACCTCTCTGACCTGTCTGTTCACTGGAAAACGGAATTTCTGTTTTTTAACAATAAGAGACTGGGCATGCCTATCACTTCCTTCAGGCATGTTTGTACAGGTGTGCCTGTTGATAGGAATATGTGACTGCATGCTGTGTGCATGCGTGTGTGCTAGTGTGTACGTATGCATGTAGGCATGCCAGTGGGTGTTCATATGTACCTGCATGATGGTATGGTCATGTGTGTGTGTGCCTGTGTATACACGCACACATAACTGTTTAAATGTGTGTATGCCTGTGTGTGCACACTTGCTTGTGTGTGTGTATGTGTGCATGTGTGTGTCCATGTGTACCCACATAGGCTGGTTTGTGTGTATCATCTCTCTTGGCTGTTTTATGAGTTTCTTGTCTTTCCCTGGTCTTCAATAATTTGGACTGTGGTGTGTTATCGTGTGTTTTCCTTTGTGCAAGTCCTGCTTGGGATTCCTTAGTTTTCTTATCTGAAGGGACGTATTTTTTTCATCCAGTTTGAGCAGTTTCCAGGGTGGTAATACCACCCACTCCGCCCTGATCATCTCACTTCTCCTGGGATTCTACTTCCACTCTACATTGTTCTACACCCACTGGCCTTCCCTCTTTTTTCCTCGGGGCTTTCTTTTCCCTTTGGTCTCGGCAGGTTCCTTTGTCCTGGTTCCGATTTTTATTTCTTCTGTTGTGGCTGAACTGCTGGTTAATGGACCCAGTGCCTTTTCATTTCAGATCTGTTTTGCTTGCAGTTCTAAAATGTTCTTCCAACTCTTTCTTGTGACTACCACGTATCTCTTAGTATATTTTCCCCTTTAGCGGTTGTTCCTTTAAATTCCTGAACACAGGCGCACACTGTGTATCATCTCCTCAGTTCCTTTTACCAGATGCAAAGTGGTACAAAAGAGAAGTGGCAGACGCCTCCTGAAATCCTCGGGGAGATGAGATGACAGGGTGTGTGTTTGCAGGCTCCTCTGAATTTCTGGCCTTAGCGATCTGGAGGGTCACGCAGTTGGAGCTTGACTTTAGTGAGTCTCCTGTGCCCAAGTAGGCTGGACCTGAACAAAAGCCACGCCAAGCTGAGCCATTCTACAGTGAGTCTGTGGGGTTGGAAGGTCACCTGAGGAGGAGTGCAAGGATGGGGACAGGGGCTGGGGTGGGGACAGCCCTGATCTGCAGAGGCTCTTTCTTCCTGTGTGGGCCACACTGCTGCCCTCTCAAGAGTGAAACAGCCCGGAGCACCCACCCTGCTCACTCACTGTGAGCAGGACATTTTGCATCATTCATGACTCCGTTGCTCTGTGAAGCCCATGGTAGATGCTGTTTCTGAAGTCTCCAGGCTGAGCCTCTTAGCTCCCTGCCAGATCCCGACACACAGACCAGCACAGTGGCCCGAGTGTGCAACGGCCATCACACATCTGGCCAGCCCACCCTACCTGGAAGCACACATTCCATCACAAACTCAGCAGCCACTTCAGTTGGTGGTAGGTGTCACCTCACTGCCCCTCTAGCCCCAGCCTGGATCCCCAAAGTCAGCTTTGCAAGGCCCAACTCACACAGTTTCTGGTGAAGCCCTTACCCGTGTTAAACCTTGGTTGCATCTTACTGCTCTGTGAGGACCTTCACGGCCCTTTCATGTTCAGCACTGTAACGTTAACATTGATTTCACTTCAAACATAGGAAGAACAGCTCAGAAGTCCTGTGTCCTCTAGCCACTGCCTCCCCTTAGCTACACCCTGCTCTGCTCAGTTCCTTCCGGTCTCCTCCCTTCTTCTGACAGGAAACACTGGTATTTGACCTCAAACACTCCTTTGTCTGTTTCATAAGGAGAACAAATGTGACAAATGCACAGTGAGACAGCCACAGTCACAAAAATCCTATCCAACGTCAGTGTCATTGTCTCCTCCATAGCCAGACTTCATCAGTTGTCCCAATACAGTCATACTTAACACATGACACTCCTCGTCCACACGACACTCTCCACACAGAACACTCTTCCCATATCTATAACATACATAGAGCACTCCTCACAGAGAGAGCACTCCTCACTCACACACACACACATACACACACACACACACACACAGAGTTCTCCTCACACACACACACAGAGCTTACACACACACACACACAGAGAGAGAGAGAGCTCTCCTCACACACACACACACACACACACACACAGAGTGCTCTCCTCACATACACACACACACATAGAGCGCTCCTCACACACACACCCAGAGCTCTCCTCACATACACACAGACACACAGAGCTCTCCACACATACACATACACACACACACACACACACACACACACACACACACACACACATACACACAGAGCTCAGAGCTCTCCTCACACATCCAACACTCCTCACGTTCAACATTCTTCACACACACATTTTTTGCATACATAACCCTACTCACACACACACCACTCACACATCTAACATACATCACACTTATATGTGCACACCTCTCTTGCATACACCCCGATACACACACCTTGCATACACACCACACAGAGCTGGAGGAATGCTGAAATAGATACATTTCTAAATCCATGTGGATTCAGAGAATCAAGTGTCCAATGCTCCAGCTCTAGAACAGGGTCGCCTGCTGTTACTCTCCAATGGAGGTCCTCGTCCCTTTGCAGGAGACCCCTAGCTTCCAGGCCCTCCATACCTTCTGGCATTTGTAAGTTTCTGAAAAAATTTCAGGATACTTTGAATACCACACAGAATAAAATTTCAAACAAATATTACTGCAAAAACCAAACTACAGAATTCTTACCAGTTTTGTGGTCATTTTTATTTAAGATTACAGTTACAGAGAGGTTACAAACATTAAGTGCAAAATGCAATAGCTTCGGAAATTTTAATCGATTGTTGTATCTGCATCCTCTTTCGGCTGCTGTGCCTGAGGCTCGGCGACTGAGAAAGAAGTTTATTTAGCTTGCAGTTCTGGATGCCAGGAAGTCCAGCATCAGGCTGTAGCTTCTGGTGAGGGCCTCTCACTGCATCGCTGTGTGTGGATGACACACAATAGGCGTGCATGAATGACAAAGGAGACATCCAGTTTCTCAAGCGCTGACTGATTTCGGAGAGAATGCAGTATTAAGATAAAAACATAATTCCCTTCGGCAGGCCTCACATGCCAACATCTCTGTTGATTTCCACATTCCAACACACCACCCAGCACCCTCCCCAGTCCCTGTGCATCTGTGAGAAACTCCTCATCCTGTTTCCTGGAGCAGCCTCACAGCCGGTCCTGCCTGCCAATTCTCACTCTTCTCATGGGTCCTCTTCTCTGCTGAATCCTGGTGGCCCACCCCTGTGGTCGATATCACCTCATGTTGCTTGCCTGTTCTTATTGCTGGGCATCTGCAGGACTTCCAGCTTGGCTCCAGTATGAACAAAAGCATATAAGTATTCTTGCATAAATCTTTTTTTAATATATATAAATGCTCACTCCTCTTGGGTAAATTTCTAGAATCAGGCCTGTGTGCTTAGGGGATAAATATGTGTTTAACTTTCAAAGAAACTACCGTAAGTTCTGCCAGGCAGTTTTAACATCCTACGCTCCCATTCGACTCTGTGAGACATTTCCGGGGCTCCACACCTTGGTCAACACTTGCTGTTCCCAGCCTTTAATTTTGTGCTTCCAGTGGTGGGTGGTGGCACCTTGCCGTGGTTTATTTGCACATCCTTTATGACCAGTTATGTGGGGACACATTCATTCTCATGGCTCCTGCAATGTCTCTTTCTTCTGTTGCCCATTTTAAGGGTCAGTTGCCTTTCCACAGAGTTACAGTTGATCACATTTTCTGGACTCATTTCTTGCCCATCTGTGTCCTGTGTCAGTGTGCACAAAAGTTCCTCATTTTGATGAGGTCTGTTTTGTCAATTTTTGTTTTTCAGGTGGGGTCTCACATGGCCCAGGATGGCCTCAAGCTCATTATGTAGCTAAGGATGGCCTTGAGCCTCTGATCTTCCTGCCTCCACCATTGCAGCACGCACCGTCACACCTGTTTGATGTAGTGCTGGGGATCCAACCTAGGACTTGGCACACGCTAGGCAAGCGTTCTATATACAGCCCCAGCCCGTGATATCCATGTTTTATTTGTAGCTACTGCCTTCTGAATGCTGTCCAGGCCATCTGCCTGCCCTTCCTTTAGGGAGAGGGTATGTCTTCTTCTAGAGACCAGGAAGTTCTCAGCTTGCATTTTACCCCCTCCTCTCCTCTTCCTCTCCCATTTCCTTCCTGACAGGGTCTCACAATGTAGCTCATGCTGGCCTCATATAATCCTCCTACCTCTTTTCTGAGGGTTAGGGTGATCACACCTGGCCCATGGGAAGCCTGCCTACAATGTTTCTGAGCTGTGGGGTGGTGGCCCAGGCTCACTGCCCTAAGGAATTTGGTTTATCTCAGTCCTTCCCATCCAAGCCTGAGGCCTCCATGTGAAGTAGCTGGAGCTGGAGAACACAGCTTTCTCTCAGCTGCTCCATTCCCAGCCCTCAGATCAGCTGATTCTAGACTTGTCTGAGGCCTGGGTTCTCCACACTGCAGCTTCCCTGTCCAGATCCAGTCTATTTCCTCAGGGCCTCTCTCCCCTTTGCGCTCCCCACTCCTTCAGTCTCTGCCCTCTGTTGGTTGTGGTCTTGGCTTGGGGATTTCCTAGGGCCAGCCTGCTAAATTGTACCACAGTGCCCAGCCTGAGGGCGCAGAGAGTGCCTATGGCAAGACTCCACCTGGAAGCTAACCTCCATTCCCACCATCAGGAGCTCCCCAAGGCTTTGGGGTGTAGGGAACTCACAGCGAGCTTCAAAGAGTCTACCACGTACTGCAGAAGCAGGAAAATGGACTGGAGAGCCCGGCTGCGCTCATGGCTTTTGTCAGATTTCAACCACTGCTCTGTGTGCTGGGAAGAATAGGGGAGAATGTGAGAACCCGCACCCACAAAGCCCATCACACCCAGCTCAACATCAGCCCAAAGTAGGGCCGCTGAGAAGGGCGACAGCCACCCAGCCAGGCCATTAGCCTCATTGCCTGTCCATCAGTCGACTCCTTCAGTCCTGGGGTGCCTTACAGGTTTGGAGCATCTGAGACATATGGAAAACCCAAACGACAGTCTTATTCTTACACAGCCAGGACGATTGTTCTAAGACCAGCCCAACAATCCGACAGTAGACACCAGCAGGGCATCCTTCAACTCAGCCCAGCTCCAATGCTGTCTTGGTTAAGGGCTCTGTCTTTGAGTTTCCTGATTCTGGAGCCCTAACAGTGGCTCATGTTTCAGTCCAGCCCACTGTAAATTACGTTCACCCACCTTTCATTCTATAAAAAAGCACCCAAAGCAGACTACTTTACAAATAGGTCTACAGTGGTGCATGACTCTGGAGGTCTAGAGTGCTGATGGCCTCTTGGTGACAGTCCTAGGATGGTGAGGGGCACCACATTGTAGAGACAGGAAACACATACATGCCCGTTTTGTTTCAATTCCCCTCCACTTCTCATAAAGCCTGTCACAGGGTTGGGGGTACGGCTCAGTGTAAAACACTTATCTAGAATGTTGAATGTCTGTGTATAAATAAGGGTCTGGGTTCAATCCTTATCTAGCATTACATGTGTGCACATGAGCGTGCACACACACACATCCACCCCTAGCAGCTCAGGCTGGAGCTAGGGCTGGGGCTGGAATCCCTACTTTGCTGGTCTACAGGCCTCACCTGCAGGAGGAAGCAGACCTCATCCATGCTCGGGTTCTCAGAGATGAAGTTCTGGAGGAGCAGGTCCAGGGCACGCATTGTCTTCTTGTACAGCACCTAGCAAGGGCAAGGGACAAAGACAGCTGGCATCACATAGCCAGGTCACCTCATGGTCTTCCCAGCTCCTCCATGAGGGCTGAGAGGTATCTGCTTCCTTGGGCCCAACTCTGGCAGGTGAGGCTGATCACACCATTGGCGGCAGCTGGGATAGTGAGGCCTGCCTCCAGACTTTCCCCAGAGGAGCGGTGGTGTGAGCATACGGGTCCCTCTAGCTGCTCGAGCATGTCTCCTCCAGCTCTGCCCACCTCTCTCCTGCAGTCACTGATGTAGTCTGCCACTCTGACGTCTTTCCTCCTAACTTGCTGTTTCCCCAAGAAAGACTTTTGGCTAATGTCTCAGCCAGTGATAACTTAGCAGTTACAAATGAAACGTTTGTTGGTTGGTTGGTTGGTTGGTTGGTTGGTTGGTTGGTTGGTTGGTTAGTTGGTTGGTTGGTTGGTTGGCTGACTGGTTGGTTGGTTGGTTGGTTGGTTGGTTGGCTGACTGGTTGGTTGGTTGGTTGGTTGGTTGGTTGGTTGGTTTTTCAAGATAGGGTTTTTCTGTGTATCCCTGGAACTTGTTTTGTAGACCAGGCTGGCCTCAAACTCAGAGATCTGCCTGCCTCTGCCTCCTGAGTGCTGGGATTAAGGAAGTGAGACATCACTACCTGACTTTTTTCCCCACATATTTATAAAGACTAAAAGAGAGAGGAAATGGTTGTAGATGAAAAGAATCTTGAGCTGATAATCTTGTCTCCAAGTGAAGGATGGTTTCAAATGGAAGTAAGACCAGAAAGTGTAAGCGCAAACACACCAGAAGGCCCAAGCATGTCACACTGCAAGGAGTCAAGAATTCCTCCCAGTGAACACCATCCGCTGAGAGAGCTTCTGACGAGGAGGCAATACTCTTATGTGGAGATATTTCAAATAAGAATGCTAAAATAGCAATGAACACTTATGGCTGAGCTGACCTGAGGATGGCCTTCCTCCTTTCTCAGATACAAACTTACACTTATCTAGGAATCTCAGAGCAAGAAAGGAGACTCCATTTCCAGTGAAGGATACAGTTTGGTCACCTTATGTGACCCTAGAGCCTATGATCTCACCCTATCAGACTGCTGTCCTAACCACTTCAGGAAGCACCTTAGAATCTCATTTACTAAACAGAGGGCGTGGAGGAAGTGCTCTTAGCAACCCTTTAGGTGGAGCTTGTGTGCCTGGGTCTAAGATATTTAAGCCTGACTTCTTCACACTTGGGTGTGTCTTATCCTTTCTTTGGGTGCCTCTACTTCTATCAACCCCATGCTAAGTCTATGTTAAACTGTCTTCCTAATAAAATGCAACACTGCTCCAAACCGGACCATCCTGAAATTCTTTTGTGTACAAAGCCTTGAATCTTGGCTTTACCTGAGTACGTGTCCCTGCAAGGAGTTCTTCAGGTTTCTGAGGGCAGCAGCATAGAGCTGGGTCTCTCCCAGGCCCCACTCCCACTGATGAATCCCAGCATCATTCACTGTGTCGTGGTACCCAAACCCTCAACACAAGCAACTTCAAGGTTTGTTTTGGCTCACAGCTCAGCCCATCCAGTGCATCACAGTGGCAAGGCATCTTGGGAGGGCATGGTGACCCTGGCTGCTTAGGCTGTGGCGGCAGGAGCTTGCTGCACACCTTCTCATATGACTCAGAGCAAAGAGAACACTCAGGCTAGAAGCAGGACCAGGCTCACCACAGTGACCCACTTTCTCCATCTAGGCCCCAGACTCCAATATCACCAGCTGGAGAACAAGTATTCAGACACATGGGTTTGTGGGGGACGTCTGACATTTAAACCTTGTTCTTGCAGCCTCCAGAGATGTGGGTAGCAGCATACTGTTCCTTACAGCTATGTACTTCTTTTCAACTGCCCCCACAAAATACAAAGCTGAACCCTCAAAATGCAAAACTTCCAACAGAAAACTCAGGCTTTCTTTGTGGCCCCTGGTCAAGCAAACATCTTAGACATCATACCCATAGCACAGGCCATAAAAAAAAAAAACAGCCGGTGGCGCACGCCTTTAATCCCAGCACTCAGGAGACAGAGGCAGGAGGATCTCTGTGAGTTCAAGGCCACCCTGCACTACAAGAGATAGTCCAAGACATACTCCAAAGCTACAGAGAAACCCTGTCTTGAAAAAACATAAAATAAAATAAATTTAAAAAAAAAAAACAGTAGGATTTTTCTAACCAGTAACAACTGTTTTCAGAGTCACAACTCAGAGATTTTGAGAAAGTCCCAACTGAGAGAACAGATTCTCAAATGCAGACTATAAACTCACATCCAAAGCATAAGAGGAGCTATAAAAGCTGTCTAGTAAGGCTGGCAAGATAGCTCAGGGGCCTAGAGGCCCTTGCTGTCAAACCTGGGCATCTGAGTTAGATTCCTAGGACCCACATGGTGGAAGGAGATAAACAATTTCCACAAGTTCCCCTCTGATCTCCACACATGCACCACAGCACACAGACAGACACACATACACACACAGGCTCACATACACACACATATAGACACATACATACATGTACTCATATAGATGCACATACATAGACACACATACACAAACAGGATCACACAGACACACACACACAGAGACACAGACACAGACAGACATATAGACACAAACGCACACACACAGGCACACACACATAGAGAGACACACACTGAAACACAGACATAGACAGACACATACACAAATAAAAAGTAGTTTTAAAAACCTACATAGTGGCCCATTTCAAAGTTGGTTGTGAGAGCTGAACAGATATTTCACCAAAGTTAAGCACATGACAAAGTACTCATCCTGGTGGACACATAAAGGTGACAATGGATCAAAGCTATGGTCGACTGCTAGAAATCAGTTGGTGCAGTGGCAGATGGTCCCAGGTTAACCCCACAGAGGAATGGCTGCTGCCTCCCTTGTGAATATGTGAAGGTCAGTTTCCCTTGGGACTCATCGTCTTTCCCAGCTCCCTGGGCTCTCCTGGCATGGTTCTGACAATCCACAAGGCACTGTCTCATGTGTGCCCTGGGAGCCTAGCACAAGACCACAGGTCAGCTCCCTGTGCCTTTCTGGTCTTGCTGGCTAACCTGGTTCCAGGGCCGGGAAACAAAGCATGAAAGGCTTTGTTTCTTGCTTTGCTTTTTCTGCTGAACAGAATGAAGCCACCCTCAGAGTCATGCCAGCCAGATGACCTCTTCCCAGAGCAGGCAACCCCAGCAACACTGTATCCTCCCTTCACTTCCGGTGGATGGAACTGGCCTCGCCCACTTTGGATATGGCCTTGGTACTCACATAGGCCCTGTAATGGGGCATGGCCTAGTTGTGTATTGAGTGCCAGCAAGAATGATCAGAAGCATGTGAGTGACAGCCAGCCTTGTCCCCTCCTCAACTCCCCTGCAGCCTGGGTCTGGGGCAAGATAGTCTGAGATAGCCTGGTAGCTGCACAGCTGAGGATCAGGATGTGTCCAGCGCCTTGAGGCATCTGTCAGCTTACTCAAATCAATGAGTACAACGTACAGGAAGGCTCACGTCAGAGAATGCCGCCAGAGCATCCCTGAGACCAGGGTCTCGTCTGCGCAGAAAACCTTCAAGGTCTGGGCCATTCTAAGGTTGAAGTGAGCCTGTGCTCCAGACAGAGATCCTCTTTCTGCCAGTTACCGGACAAAGATAACCCCTGGCCTAGCACCAGGAACCCACACCCCTGGGAGAGAGACACGCCAAGCCTAGGGCATCACCATGACATCTGGAACTTGTTTGGATGAAGGCAAATCACTCTTCATGGGCTCAGTAGCGGGAAGCCTGTTGACATCTGGAGCTTGTTTCGATGAAGACAAATCACTTTTCAGGGGCTCAGTAGCAGGAAGCCTGTTGACATCTGGAGCTTGTGTCAATGAAGACGAATCACTCTTCAGGGACTCCGTAGCAGGAAGCCTGTACACACTGTGCAGGCAAGTCTGCAGGATCTGGGACTTGAGCAGGGGTTTGAGTCCGGGTCGTAGGTTACTGCAAGAAAACAAAGTGTTGGGTTGGGGCACGAGACTGGCCCAAGGGACTCCCAGCAGGAGCGTACCAGAATAACTAGAATCTGAAAGTAGTCAATGTCTTGGCTCAGTGGAATAAGAAGGATCAACACAACAGGGGCTGTGGTGAGCTGTTCTAACTCACTGGCATTTGCCTGGGGGAAACCTAGGCATTTTCAGGGTTAGAGCCAAAGCTATGAATAGGTCAGGTCAGATCATAGCGTAAGATCCAGGTCCAAGGGAGAAAAGCTAGGCTTCATGTATGACCTGGGCTAGGGCCCAGTCTGTGCTCAGGACTGTGGTTCAGTGTGTGGCTGTGGGCAGGGCTTAGTTTTTGCCAGTATTAGCAATCTATCCTGGTCATGAAAGAAAGCAAACTTAGAACAGGCAGAGCCTTCTAGGCAGAACAGGAAGAGCTTCAGCACAGCCAACATTCTGGTGGAGCCTTGGGCCCCAGCCCCACACGCTCTCATGCCACCACAGTCTCAGGACCTTGCCTGTCTTCCCGTGCCCTAGGAGAGCTACCTCAGGCCCACGACAACCAGGATGACCTTCTGCCTGAAGAAGGTGCACAGGAAGTTGGGCTCCTCCTTGAGGATGTCCTGGAGGGCAGAGGAGGGGCATGCGGCAGCAGCCTCTAGCTGGTCTCCCTGGTCCTTAGGAGTTCCCACGGTGACCCCAGTGTCGCTTACCAGGAGGCACAGGATGAGCTCTGGAATCTGAGTGAACTTGTACCTCTGGGAGCCATACTCTTCCCGGAGTGATCTCGTGAGCAGGATGGCCGCAGACAGGAAGCTTGACTTCAAGATCTCATCCTGTCCCCCACAGATGGGCCAAAGGTCAAATCAGGGGACACTTTCCTAGAATCCTCTCACATAACTCAAGCAGCCACCTGGATCAGGGGACCAGGAGTGTGTGCCTCACACACACAACACACGAAGCACACTTCATGCACACAGGACACAGCAACCGTACTCACAAAGACGACCTCTCTGCCAATCAAGAAAGCTGAATAGAGGGTTCCCTTCTCTCTAGGCCAGCCACACTACCCTGGAAGGACACAGCCTTATCCCAGCCACCTGGACCAGAGCCCTGGACCCAGGAGTGCAGAGAGAAGACCCTGAGTGGGCTCTGTTCCCAAGACCCCAGGACTGTCCTGTGAGTACTGCCTCAGTGACTGGCAAGTTAACCCAGGTGGATTTGTCCAGCCTGCCCTTCAATGGAGGGTGGGGAGGGCCTCACGCAAGGGCCACAGGAGAAGTAGTACACCATCCTCGAGGCGATGTTGTCCACCCAGGGCAGGATCTGCTCCTTGATATGTTTGGCTATCTGCCCATAGCACAGCAGGGAGGTGCTGCTGACCCATTTCCATCGAAGGTTGGTGTCTGATGGCTGTGGGCGTGGAGAGCTAGGCTGAGGGGATCCAGGCTCTCAGCCCTCCCAGCCCCCACCTCCCTCCTGCCAACGAGAAAGCTGTAGCCTCTATACTGACTTTGGGTAGAGGCCGGCAGTATGCCTCCTCCACAGGACCGGGCCTAGGGTTGCCACTAGCCCTCCTGTCTAGGAAGCCCCACTAGCTGGTTCCCCGGGCAAGCCTTCTCCTTTGAGGTTCTTGTGTAGCACAGCTACTGGGGTTGGAATTGGCCAGGAAAGTAGAGCTGCTTAGTGTATTTTCTGGGCCCAGGGCAAGCAAGAAGTTGAGGCCCAGGCCTGGTATAGCTCTCAAAGTACTGGAGGATCCCTGGCCCAAAATCTTTAGCTCAATTGTCTCCATGCTGAGGCCCCGAGGAAGGGACTCCTATGAAGCATGGGCACAGAGTAGGTGCTTCATCCATCCTGTGTCCCCAACACCAGCTCCTAAGGCAAATGGGTCAGGCAGGAATCCTGGTGTAGTGTTATCAATGGGCACGTGGAGGCTGGCACCTCTCTGTCCAATGCTATCGTCTTCAACATGCTGTAGCACTCAGGGCCTCCCTACCTGGCTGTCCGGGGACACAGCAGCTGAACGCAGGAACTTGGTGCGGCCCAGGTGCTCCAGCAGAGCCCATACCTCCTGCAAGTGTTTGGTGGAGGCCAGGCCCACAGCCAGTGCAATTCCCTGTGTACCAGAGGACCCTGTGAGGGAGCTCACAAGTGACAGGGCAGGTCCTTGTGAAGCTCTCTGGGGCCTGTCCTTCTATCAAGGCTGCCTCCCGCGGGCTGGACTGGTGGCAAGCTGGCAAGTGTGCCATGCACTGAGAGCCACAAGACCCTAGGGATGATGAATGGGGCACGAGGGAAGCATAATAACCTGAGGACTCTGACCCACCTCTCGGTAGCTGGAGTGCTGGTGGGACAGCTCCAGGAGGCTGGCCAGGTGGCACTGAACCTGCTCCATGCTGGAGCACTCACACAGGATGAGCCCATAGAGATGGAAGAGCAAGGCCTGGAGTAGGAAAGGGTGTTGAGTAGGCTAAAGCTGCTAAGAAATCCGCCCATTTGAGCATGGCAGGGCTGTGTGGTCAGACCTACTCCTTCCCTAAGACGGAGCCCTTTCTCCTCCCACTGTGTGAGACAAAGCAGGAGAGGAGCACCCTCCTGAAGCATTTCCAGGCGGCTAAAAGAGCCTAGGGCTTCTCATGGGGCACTGACCTTATCAGCAGCTTGCTTGGGGTCCAGGCTGAGGAATTCTAGGAGCTTCGGCATAGAGGAATCCCTGGGTGGCATCTTCTGCTTTTCCCAGTGCTGTGGGCCAACTGTCACTCAGGCCCTTCCCAACCACCAGGAAAGACAGATTCTAGAGCCCACAGGACAGTTGGAGCCTCCCAGGACCCTGAGTCGGGGGAGGGCAGCTTGCTTTCAGATGGGTGAGAAAAAAGGAAACGGGAAAATCCCTCCAGGAACGAAAGCCTTAATCCAGAGTGAATCTGCCCATGACCATGTCTGCAGTAGTGCGCTGAGACCCTTAGGACAGAGGCTGACATTTCTAGCAGACACAGACAGTCCCATGGGCATCTGGGCATGCTCCCTGCTAACTATGCCTCTATATTGAGTCCCTGGGTCTTTGCCTATCCTGTTCTGACCAAATGGTTTTCCCTCCCCACCTAAGTTTAGGTTCCCAGTCATGACCAGCTGTGAGTGCTCAGGTAGCCTCCCCCTGTAAACATACAGGCCTTCTGCATCCCTCAGAGTTTGTGTCATATTGATTGGCCCAGGAGAGTAGACAACAGCTGTGGGAAGCTGGACATAAGATTAAAGTACTATTTTTAGGGTGGTTGTGGCCGTTTTGAGATAAGATTTCTCTGTGTAGCCCTGACTATCCTCTGTAGAGCAGCCTGGCCTCAGACTCTGCCTGCCTCTGCCTCCTGGGTGCTAGGATTACCCAGGCATGCATCACCATTACCTGGCTAAAGTACAGTTTGATGGTTAGGAACCAGGAATAGCCCCACATATCCCAAGACCTCAGCCACTCCTGGTGTCATCTCTGGCCTTCAAAGACGACAGGGGACTTTCAGGTAGACAGTCCTGAAGCACCGTCATGAAGGTGTTCAGAGCAGTCGTGGGCCTGGGAATGCATTGGCCATCCCTGGTAGGAGGAGGCCCTGGGGGGACTCTGCCTTTGCACCAGTGTGTGAGAAGTAAAACATCCACTCTGACTCTCTGAAATCCTCCAGCACTTTCCCATAGAGTGTTAGGAGCATCAGGGATGGCCAAGATTGTGGGAGTTCTAAGGTGATTGATGAGTTCAATGTGATGGCTGGGGAAAGATCCTGGAGGGAGCCTTGACTTCCTCCCAGCCCCATGAGTCTCCCGCCCAGTGGGAAGCATCAGTCTCTCTGGTCCTACCTGGCTGTGCTCCTCTAGGAAATGGCAGATGGTGTCCAGTGCCAGGCCCTGCTCTGTGACCATCATGTTCTTGATCTTACTGACTGCCACATTCTCCCAGGATGGGTGGATATTTGAGTACTCTCCCAAGATCCCCAAATCCAAATAATCTGTGGAGATCCCAGAAGCAGGGAGGGAGTCAGTACAAGCCCTAACCCCTTAGTTCCCCAACACCTAAGACCCAATAATGTTCCTAAGCTGGATGAGGAGAAGGACTCTGGTAAAGAGCCCAGGCCCACCCAGCACCTGCCCTGCCAGGTTCCTGCTTGGCACACTGGAAGGACAGTCCGTGGAGGCAGACCTGCCTTCACCGACACAGACACATCTAGGAAGCCTGGTGGCCAGCTCAGAGCAGCATCAATGTTCAGCCAGTTGACTCGGTAACAGAGACCATACCAGGGTCAGGACTATGACCACAACTGCTGATCATTTGAAGCAACATATTGGCATGGCTCCTGCCTAGTCCCAGTATCACAACAGCTGGTACTCCTCTTATTTAAACCACAAGGCTGGACTTAAGCACCCAGAGGCCAATATGGTGTTTGTCATCTACAAGCCTAAGCAGAATTCCAAAGAGCAGACACTTCCATGGTGAGCAGGCATAGACTTCCTGGGGCCTGGCCATCCACCACACTGAGAAGAGCTGGAAAGGAGTTGGCTGAATGTGGCAGGGGCCATGTGGACACTAGGAAGCTTCTTCCTAGCCAGTCATCAGAGCCCCCACCGCCGTAAACACATCCAAAAGAGCCACACTCACTTTCAGTGGAGAGGAAAGGCGTTCCCAGGGACTGGACTTGGCTGTCTTCTCATGAGACAAAGACAAGAATATATGAAGGAAGGAAGACAGCACATCCTATAGACATGTGACTGGGGAGTGAGTTTTTCTCTGAAAAATCAAGAGCAAATAAGAAGGCCTGTCTAGAGCCACATTGTTATGGTTTCTATGTATCCCCCCAAAAAGGTTCTTGGTCCACAGAGAACTTTGACCCACTCAGTGGTTTCATCTACCACTGATGGGGTCATAAGTTAAAAATGTTATTGGGACTTGAGGCCTATATGGAGCATGTAGGTCATTCGAAAGCCCCTAGAGGGGGTCTTCTTGGTCCCTACCTCTTTCCCTGCCTCCAACTCATGCCATCTGGTAAGAAGCTCTGCCTGTCTGTCCCTTCCCCCATGCTGTTAGGCCGTAGAAACATCCCACTATGCACCAGATACTCTCAGTCAGCCAAAAAGCATCTTTCCTCCTTGTCTTGTGCCAGGTATTCTTCCATCGCCATGAGAAACTAGCATACACATGTGCTAAGGGTCCCTTCCTCACCATCAGGGAAACCCCAGAGGTTTTATGATGAGTTATGTGACTTTTACATTGTCTAATGCTTTTACAACCATGGTATACAGGCAAGTTCTAAATGGCTGCAAAGCCAGATAAAGTCCAACTGAGTCACATACATGGGCTGCCTCATCACAGGGTTCTTGTCACTCAATCTTTCCAAACCATGCCTTATAGGATCTGGTACCAGGAGTGGTATACAGGGTCCTCACATGAGCCTCGGCCTTAGCCAAGAACAGAAAGGAGCCTGCTGTTGGTGTCTGAGGGCATCACTCACCCAATCCTGAGCTGATAACCAAGACACTGCACAACCCTCTGAAAGCCACCATTCATGCTTGCACACATTTGGTCATGCAGTAAAAGCTATCTACCTGCTAGGCACTGACTCCTAGTAAGCACAGACATTTCTTAGTCTTTGGATGATCCAGGCTACCCCTCATGTCCTCAGAGCACAAGGATGACACAAGAGAAGCTGTGCGGTCCCTGCTCAGCTGGGTGGCAATGGTACATAGTCCACCCGACCTGACTTCTTGGATCTAGGAATAGTGGTTACATTTCAGCTGTCCTTCCCGGGGGGATGGAGATGTAGGGATGAGTGGGCTCTGTCCAAGGTCCTGTCTGCTCAGCGCCCTACTTCAGGAAGTCAGAGTCTGAGTGAACCCCAGCCCATACACTGTATGGATGTGAGCTCCTGGTCTTTGTCCCCCTGGTCGGGCTCTTGGCAACTCTCAGCAGTGTGTCCACTCTGTAAACCCCACTTGCTGTGCACCCCACTTACTAAGCTCCAGCTCTTGCTCCTGCCTGGGCAATGAGCGGTTGGCCTTTCTGTAGGCTGAAGGGGTGGATCTTTGTCGGGACTGAAAGGAGCCATCACTAACCATAGCCAGAATTGGTCCAGGGATTCTTTGGAGGACAGCACCTGGCAAGGACAGGATATAGATTTTTTTACCTACCTGGTGACAGAGTACGGCCACAGGGGCTCTCAACCAGCCCAAGCCTTCTCATCCCCTCCCTTAAGCCTCTCCTGCCCCCAACCCTTTCACTCCAGAGACACCACAGCTGGTCCTGTAGGCAGTGTGACATCCAAAGGGCCTTGGCCCAGTCTTTCCTGCTCAGCTGTGGTGACAGTTTAAATAAAAATGTTCCCCACATTTGAGTCATCAGAGAGGCACACTATTTGAAAAGGATTTGGAGATGTGGTCTTGTTGGAGGAAGTGTGACGCTGGGAGTGGGCTTTAAGTTTTCAAAAGCTCACTCCAGGCCCAGTGCCTCCCTCTCTTTCAGCCTACAGATCAGGATGAAGCTCTTAGTCTCTGCTCCAGAATGAGCCTGCCTGGTGGCACCATGCTTGCCCACCATACTTCTTGCCATGACGATGTGAAACTGTAAGCTAGTCCCCAACCAAATGCTTGCTTTTATAAGAATTGCCTTGGTTGTGGTGTCTCTTCACACCAATAGAACAGTGACTAAGACAGCTACTTAGCATGGGGTGTGGTGGTGACTCCAAGGCTACCCTGCCACCTTCACCCTGACAATCCTTTCTTCTGGCATCCTCTGAACTTGGTTTCAGCCTCTTGTCCATGGATGAGCCATGCTACCCACACATAGGTTTCAGAGGTTCTCCTTGGACATATAAAAATGGTGCAGGGGACCCTATGTATCACCAAGGCCACCTGGAGGCCCTCAGTTCAGAGAACCTGATCTTGGGTGTTGACTACAGATTCACCTATACTTGGCATATCTCCTAAGAACCCTGAGCAAATGTCCCATCTGCTCAGTCTTGCCAAGTTGGGGCATACACCAGACTCCCCAGTGACAGACTAGCCAGTTTCCCAATTAGTACATCTCTAACCCTGCCAGGTATGGGACCCTCACAAGTGTCCTGAGATCCACTCTCCATCACTTTCCCCTGTCTTGCAACTCTAATAGAAAACTTTCGCCTCAGGCTGCCTACCCTACCTTCATTGTCAGCTTAAATGGATTTAGAAGTACCTAGGAGGTTATCCAATCACACCTCTGGGAAAATCTGTGAGGATGCTTTCAGAAGGGATCACTGGAGAGGAGAAGACCTGGCCCAGATGTTGGATGGCACCATTCCATAGGCTGGAGCCCCAGATGGAACAAGAGGAGGAAAGGAGACCGTGAGTGGAGCGGAGTGGCCAGCATTCTGCAGTGTCCTGGCCTGCCATGACCTGAGCTGTTCCTCGCTGCCATGAAGACGTGAGTCATTAAATAACTTTCCTTCTTTGCTTCTTTCAGTATTTGCCGTGCAATTAATACACAGCCTGTTCCCTCCCACCCTGAGACTCCTTGTTCTGGATGCTCTGATCAGCCCTACCTGCCTAGCTGTAACCCTTTGCCTGTGACTTCTTTATCCCTCTGTCCTAAGTTTTCACATGGCCTCACCCATCAACTCTATGGCACAGGGGACCTCTGAGCATCTGCCTTTTCTGAAAAGAAAGCTCTGTTTGCCTTCAGACCTATGCTCAACAACCTGGCAGTGAGGGTGCTCACTGTACCAGGGAAGAATGGATGCTATGATGCTATGGGATAAGCAATGGGTGACTATCAGTGAGGAAGAGAGAGAGAGAGAGAGAGAGAGAGAGAGAGAGAGAGAGAGAGAGAGCGCAAATGAGGAGTAAGAGATTGAGTGAATGGCTGGGCATGCTAGGCCGTGAGTGGGGAGAGCATGAGCGGGAGGGGTCCGCCTCCTAGTCGAGGGGAGCATCTCTACTGGGGCTCTGGCATATGTGCCATTGTTGTGCCCTGTCCTACCCAGTGCCGGGGGCTGAGTCAAGCCTAGGCAGTGTGGGTGGCCTTAAGAGTGCACCATTTTGAGAAGTCTGTTGCCCACCTGGGTCCTCAAGGTCCTATCTGGTCACCTAGTGCCCGGCCCTGCCACGACCCATCTGCTTTTCGCTATTGCCAGCCCCAGCTAGAGGCTCTGAGTTTCCAAGCCACAAAGGCCATGCCACTGCCTGGCGATCACAGCTGGCCTGCTTCCTTCAGGCTGTCGCGTCCCGAACTCTTCCCACCACTTTGCGCTCTTAGTAGCCCTGCTCACCAAGCTAGAGTGAGGTTTTCACAAGCCTCAAAAGGACTCTAGAAAAGCTGGACCTCTCCCTTGCAAATTGGCCCCCTTACAATCTTTTCATGGAAGCCACAAAAGTCATTCTCAAGTGACTGTCTCCAAGTCTAGGGTAGAAGTGAAGGGGAAACAGAGTCTGGAAGGTTGCATGGAGGACCAGACAAGGAAACCAGAGGAAGACTCTAGATGAGGGTGGGTCACTGAGTCCAGAGGGGGTCAGTGTGACTATGGATGGCAGATAAGGTCTGAACCAGAGACTTGCCAAGAACAGAGGCGATAACACTGTCTGTTCCACCCACTCTTCCCCTCCTATCCCTTGCTTGCTGGCCTCTCCCATGCAAACTGTCCTTCCTCTTTGACCTAATCCAGCCAGCTTGAACCATGTCTGACTACCCAAGAAATCAGCTTTCCCACTCTCCTCATCCCCCTCGTTCTCTCGATCTCGCAAGTGCCGGAGGTGCCTGTACAGCTCCAGCAGCCTGGTTCTCCCAGCTACAGTTCCCTGCCACGTCTCTTGCGGTCAGTCCCAGCCTGTCTCCATGAAGCCACAGTCCTCTTCGGCTTCAGGGGAGGCACAAGGGACCCACCACCAGCTCTGTGTAAACTGTCATATTACCTGAACCGGTCTTGACTGCCTTCTCGTCCCTCACTCCTTCGTTGTGTCACCTGCCCATCCCTCGGCTGCGGTCTCCCCCACCTGAGCTCTCCAGCTGTATCCTTATCCTCTGGTTGGTGTTCCTGGACCCCTATAGACGGTGAGCTTCTGAGGGTCACTAGGAGGTCAGCGGTCAGCCTGTGCACACGGAGGCTGCATCAGTAAACACTGACTGCTGTAGATGAAGAGCGCTCCTTCCACACGCTGTAAGGCAGCTCGAGAGATGGCCTCCAGGCTAATCAAAGAAACACATGAAAAAGGCCTGTTACTCATGCATGCACATGGCTTGGGTGATCATACAGAGGTCAGAGGTCAGCCAACAGCAAGAACTCCTAAGAACCCTGCTGGTCACCTGCATCTGTACCTGTACGGGTCATTTACTGTCAAGGACTCCCTTATCCAGGGGCATGGCTTGCTTGTCCCTGAATCCCACTTTCAGGAATTTAATCCATGGGGTAAAATTAGAAATGCATGAAAATTCACTATTTAAGGACTTTTCCCAAGGCTTAAATAGCCACGGGAGTCAAAAGGAGATGCCCAGTGGGCAGTTCTGGAAACCTGATCTTAATGCTGACTGACCGACCACTTGGATATTGTCTGGCTCAGGGACAAAGTCCCAGAATTCTAATTTAAGATCCATTTTTCCCAGACATTATGATTCTAGATTTTGTTTTCTGAATCCTCTTTTAAAATTTCCAGAAGGGGGAAGAAGGGGTTGCAAAGGAGGATGCTTTACTGTTATCAATTCAACAAAACAAAACGACAACCAAAATGCTACTTAAAATACAAAAAGCTATGGGTTTTTTTTTTCTTTTAGTTTTCTGTTTGGTTGGTTTTGGTTTGTTTGTTTTTAAAGGTAAGCAGAAGACACTCTGTAAAATCATACCTCTGGCTTTGGGGAGGGAAACTGTGCAGCAAGAACTGACCCAGGGCTCTGCAGACTCCTGGAAGTCCTGAACTTGGTGGCCTTGGGCAGCCTGAGGAGAAGAAGGGACACTGTGTGATTGTGGACTGCTTGCAGCTAGCCAGGGGTAAACTCGCTGAATACTTTTGGCTCTGCCTGTGCCAAGGTTCAAGGAAGAATGAAACGAGGTCAAGCTAAGCCAAGGGTAGAGGAACTGTCTGGGACTCCCAACAGCTTCCTGAAGGGAGGGAGCTTTACAGAGGACAGCGACCAGCTGCTACCAGGTATGCTGCCCACCCCCTTGCCTAAGGAGACATTTGCTGAGATTCTCTGATGTCACCTGACTATCCAGACAGGACTGTGGGCTAGGGAGAGGTGGCAGAAGAATGTAAACTAGGGAAGGTGTGCAGAACTTGATAACAGCAGGGAGGAGCAAGGATGAAGAGGGAGAGGGTCTTCCTCATAGTTCAGGATGTGGGTATCTGCACCCAAGAGGCCCTCTGCCATAGCCTATTGAAACTTCTAAAGGAAGTCCCGAGGCCCCCATTGTGGGATTTGGTCCTCATGGACAGGGAACAGACTTCGAAGGTACTGAGATGACAGAACTGGACGAGGCCCCAGTTGGGTCAACCATGGGGCTTAATTAAGGCGGAAATTGCCTCCCCAAAGGCAGACCTGTCTTTGGGTTACTAACCCCCAAGCCTCAGTAGGGACTGTGTTCTGAGAAATCCAACCAGAAGCCCTGGGGCTGGGTGGGGGTGGGGGCTTGAGAGGCAACATCCCAACAGCCCTCCTGGAGGTCAGGAGGGACCCTCACCCCTGAGGATTCCATCCTAACTGACACTGAGGTCAGTTGAGAGGCACTGGGCCGGGAGCCACCTACAGAGGTGTCAGTCATTCATTACTCAAGCCATGGAAGTCAGGCTCCCTATCATTTGAAAAGCCAGAAGGACTGCTGGGAAGAGTCCCACCAAGGCCCTAAGGAGCCCATCTGACAGTTCCAGGAAGAGACTTAGCCTCCTAGCAGGCTTAAACACCATGTACATAGTCTGATTCACGGTCTGAACAGGCCAGACCAACTGCTTGGAATCCTCCCTAGAGCCCTGCACTTTGGCTTCTAGCCTGGGAAGCCCCCACCAAGTTCCAAGTCTGACTAATGACCTGACGGTCAGAGAATGAGCGTTGTCCAGATGACCTCAGGACATAGTCAGTTCTGTGGACTAACCTAGGCTATCCCCAGGGCATTTGGACTATTTTGCTCTTAGATTTGCAATGCCCCTCAGACTGACAGTTGGAGGGGGTGTGGCTAAGTCAACTGTCTCCTACCACTCTGAAAGATCACCAGTAACCCCCAACCCAGGGTAACAGACTAGGCAACAGCTGTGCAGGCTGAAGATAGAAAGGTTAGCAAGAGAAAAACAGCCCCGTGAGTCCCTTACACTGCCCTCCCTTGGCCTCAGGAACGACCCCTGGTCTAGAATTCAGCTGACTTCAGTACAGGGCTCATACCCTAAAGCCTTGTTTAAACAGGTGTGGTGACCCACCAGTGACAAGATGGGTTCTAGTCCTCATTTTTAGTTTCTTTCCCTCAATGAGGGATACTGAGTCCCTGGGTGAGGTTCTGGAAATCAGAGCCTGTTGAGGGAGTTCTGATACAGTAGGAGTTGAAGGAAAATAAAGTCAACAGGTGACAGTTTTGTGGGTAGAAAGGGTCTCCCTGCTGCAAAGCTACTCCTGGAAGGACCAAAGCCAAGCCCTGCTCAATTAAGTTGGGTCAGGCTGGCGCAGAGAGGGGGGTGCTAAGAAAAGCTACCACCATGAATGGCTGAGAGACATTCAGATATTGTCCAGACAAAAATATTTGAGCAGACCTCAGAGAAGAACTGAGGTCTAGGGCTTGGGGTCAATCTCGTGTCCCCAGAAAATTTCCGAATGAGAAACCCCAGGGCAGCTGCTGTGTCTGCCTAGGCCCTCCTAAGAGGCCTCCTTCCTCTTCAGAAAAATCTCCTGAAGTTGTCACCGCACTGCTTACTGCACCCTCCCTGTGACATTTTGGCCTCTCATTCCTGAGGAACATTCCTTTGGGATGTAGACCTGCTTCCGAGCCCACTTCCTGTGAAATAAGGGAATTGCTCAAGGGTCACTATTAAACATGTTAAGCAGTTAGCTTGAGATGAGTTTGGAGATCCTTAGCAGATATGTCTGTCTGTCTGTACCCTGAGAAATGATAGTTTGGGGCTTTATGGGTTCTCATCTACAACTACAAAAGGCGTTAGGCTGTCAAGAACACAAGATCTGCCTTTTGGCTCGTCGACCGTCAGTGAGGCAACATGGGTCACCAGCAGCTCTACTGGAGTCACCCGCGGAAGTTCGGCCAGGGATCCCACTCCTGCCGCGTCTGCTCAAACTGCCACGGTCTGATCCGGAAATACGGGCTGAACATGTGCCGCCAGTGTTTCCGGCAGTATGCGAAAGATATCGGCTTCATTAAGTTGGACTAAGCGACCTTGATTGGATTCTTCAAGACTCTGCCCAGTGAAACAGATCAACGCCAGTCTTTGTACATAAAAATTAAAAAAGTGAAGACCGTCAAAAAAAAAAAAAAAAAAAAAAAAGAACACAAGATCTCTAGTAGAAGTATTGTGATGACCACTGTAGCCCTGGTAGAATTTTGGGGAGATTTTTTTTTTTAACTGTCCCAAACCTGTGTGAGAGACTGGAGTCTTCTATATCATCAATCCAAGTGGCCTCCTATAGCCTTTAGATGGTTCAAGTCGGGATTCGACCTGACATGCCAGCACAAAAAATGTCACGTATTTTCTGGCACACCACCCTCTGGTACTCTGCCAAAGACAGCGGGGCAAGCCAGGGACCCTGACCTCGGCTGGGTCGACCCAGGATGTGGGGAACAGTTTGAAACAGAATCTCATTTTATCTGTGAGACAGTGACAGCAGATGCGACCTTTTGAGTAGTGGCTGTGTTTAGATTACTCCTGTCAGGACAAAGGTCTCACCAGGCCCCACTACTAGTTCAGCCACCTTCCTTGTTCTGCTTTTGAAAACTTAACATTGATTAGAACCATGGTAGCATTGGGCAGTCGTGTGACTTGGGGGTCTGGATGGATTCCTCCCAACACACTCACAACCTACAGATTCCCCATACTGTTCTAAGGGTCTCCTAAGAACATGGAGACTCACCTAGGCTCAGGCCTGTGGAGGTTCTGTTTGAGGTCAGGGCCCCGGACATCGATTTTTTTATTTAGCCTTTTCTTTCTGTGCCTTCTCAAACTGGGGCCCATGTCAGCCTATTGCTGTCTAACCTTTGACAGGATGTGCTGACGACCTGGGACAGCTATGATTCTGCATGGAAAATTACTGAGGCTGTTAAAGCATCCACTACCAACCCTGAGCCCACAGACCACCATGGAAATAGGAACACATCTGTTTGTTCTCCAGAGGCCGGGAACCAACAGAGCCAGCTGAGCCAAACTTCCTAGTAGAGCTTTGGCCAGGGGTGGGGGAGTGGATTTCACCATACCCTGTGTATATGCCCCAAGGTTGTACAGGAGAACTCACTGGCGGGGGGGGACAAAACCAAGGGGACCCTCTATTTTTTAACCCCTAGGCCCCAACACTGTGACTTCGCAATCCTAGAACATGTCTTTTTTTTTCTCTTTCAAAACTGAAGTAAAAGATTAGCTTTGAATCTGACCAATCAGATGCTCATGTAGGTCATACGGGAAAAGGAAGCAGGCTTGTGAGCTGGGAGAAAAAGGGTTCCAGGTAATAGAAACAGGCTGCCTCTAATTGGGCGCTCCCAACAGACAAATAATTTGAACCAGACAGTTGCTGTCCAGGTTACAGCCATTTTCATTTGGCCAAACCAGGAAACATTGCCCAGCTTCTGCAGCAGAGTCCTGTAACTCCCCGCACTGTGCCCTACAAGCACCAGACTCCACGTGGCAAATAGAATCTATACCCAAACTCTTTTCAGGGACTTGGCACCACTTCTTGCCTCATGGGGAATCCCCGAGCAAAGCTCAGTCTGGTCTCTGTCCTTCTCTGACAACAGCTCCCAGCCAGGGAAGGGCCTATGAGCTCAGACAGAAGGTCCCATCTGGGCCACCATTGCTTTGTAACAGGGATTCACAAGGATTCGCTGTTTCCTGACGGGGAGTGAGAACAGAACAATGAGGGCAGATGCCATGCAAAGATTATTGACAGAAAATGAGAACTCTAAACTCGGCTCCGAAATCAGGGTGAGCTGCAGAGGGGAAGGGAGAAGGGCCAGCACCTCCAAGGGTGGGATGGTCCATCACGGGTGCCACCTAACCACCGGATCCTCTGTACTTGCCGTGTTCCGGAAGCGAGGACCCAGCCCCTCTGTGACTGGAAGTTTCACTGCTAGACTGAGGTTGGCCCTTGGGTGGCCGGAGTGTGCACCTTAGGGTGGCTCATGGATCATCACTGCTGACAGCTCAAAAAAAAAATAATGTGATAGAAAAATGAGCCCCCTGGATTTCACACTAAAGAGGACATAGTCTGCACCATGCCACAGACTGCCCCTCTGCTACGAGGCCAGGGTGGGGGCTTCTCAGAAGGTCTTGTGCTGGCTGCCATTTCCCTCTTTGTCACCCCTTTGGGTGGAGTTTCAAGAATCTATTAGTAGTGCACTGGTGCAATGTGGTAGGTGTTCAGTCTCTGCGACAAGGAAAGATTATTTTGGCTTGGAGTTTCAACTATTTTATCCCATGGGTGACTGAATCCATTGCTTAGCTGTGGGACAGAGTAAATTACTTACTCCCTAAGGACCAGGATGCAGAGCACCAGACAATGTCCTTCAGTAAAAGTCTCCTAATGAACCACTTTGAGCAAGACCCCACCTCCTAAATGCCACCATTTATGACTCCAGCAATGGATTAATCCATTGATGAGAACAGAGTCCAGTCACCTCTCAATGACTGGATCCACCAGTTGAGCACAAAGACTTCAACACTTCAGCTATGTTGGGATAATTCACATTCAAACCACACGGGGTCACCCTCACCCTAGCGGGGACCTGAAGGAAAGGAATCTTGTCCCAAAGAAGGCCTGGACTGTTTAAGCTGTGGGACACTTGAGGCTGCTTCTTTAAGGGCACAGAACCCCAGGACAGGGCTAACTTTGCCAGGGGCTTTAGATTGCACTATGTTTTGCTGACTTGCATCTGTCTCCATTACCTATGGGTGGGGGGAAGGAATTGGGGCACCAGCATACAGGACAGGGCAGTGTGGGCCAGTGTTGGTAGGTGGTTCCCATATTTGCAGAGAAAGATGCAGGGTTGTGGGGCTCTTCTTGGCTTCCAGTTCATGGTGGCCATGGCTGCCCACCAGGCTACCTCTACAGCTTCTTTCATTAGTCTGCATAGAGCACCCAGGATATCCTGTCCTGTCACGTGGGAAAGGGAGGAGGCAAAGCCTAGAAGCCGGCAGGGAAGACAGACTTTGACAGCACAGTCATGCAAGAGGGCGAGTGAGCAGAGGGGACATCTCTGCTTGGAGAATGGGTACAGGCTTCACCAAGGAATGGGGATGATGGCTGAGGCTTGAAGCACACAGAGATATGTGCTGGGTGGTTGGGAGGGAGGAGGCCTCACAGCAGCAGGAAGCGATCACAGAGACCCACAGCA